TAAGTATGAAAAAGCGATCAACAAAATTAGCATACAAGAATTGAGTGATGCATAGAAAAATGCGTGCTTACCTGATGGACAGTAAAACTGCGCCGTATCTCTTCCCAGCACTCTTAGATATTGTGTTCCGCCCTCTTACGTAGCGTACGTGTCTCAGCTCGAGGGCAGCATTCCAATCAATGAGCTTACATTAAAATCTGGAAATTATCGTAAAAATTTTAAATAAATATTATGTATAGTGGCAACGATGACAGTAGCCTAAAAAGTAATGCTACAAAATCAATATAATTCCTCATTATATATATAATCTCTTATGTAAAAAAGCATTCAGGAGACTGATTACTAAGTCTTCAAAACTTACCATCGAGAGAGTGCGCTGCTGTGTGCACCACATGAAACTTCCAAGCCCCAACTGTTGCAAACGATTCGCTTCGCAACAGCGGGCAATTGGCCAGATTACGGTTTGCAAGTGAATTCACTAGCTGATTGCATTTAGTGATAAGGTTTATTATTTTTTCTTAATTAATCAATGTAAAAATTGTAATATACATAAAAAAATTTACGCACTGCGCCATCTCGCACGATATACGGGTACTTTACAGGTACCCGTAACTTCTTTTGTAGGCCGGGATACTCCATGAGGTTTGGGGCCTTATAAACCGGAGCAGAGCGAGTCGTTGAATGTGCAGCACCAGATGAGGATGCACTGCACCTACGACGATGCCTGAAAAAACATGTATAGCCATGCTTGTTTGTATTAACGAATGAGGACAATGTTCATACAATAAACGATATAAAACGGAAATACTTACAATTTTGCGCAGTAGTGCAGGTCCAACTTCACGTTGAAAGGGCGCTTTTGCTGACGCCACACTTCTGTTGTGGTGCCCTATAAAAATTAAGACGTGAAAGACATTTTTAAAACGAAAAGAAGGAAAGGTATTCATCAAACTGAATACCAGTTTTAATCAATCACAATTAGTTAAATACTGTTATACCTTCAAAATAGTATTTAATGCGTACTTACACTGAAACCTGCCACATATGCTAAATCGCTAATGCTATGTTCATGGCATTGAGTGCGCGTGTTCTGGCAGGCATTTCCAGTCGCGATGAGGCAACCTCATCTCTTTCGGCTCTAGTATCTGCCTGAAATAAATTCTATTGGTTATCAATTACTTTTCGCTGCTTCCATGTAAATTTAACCAAAAGTATTCCTTTAATTGTTGTAATTTGATTTATTACCTGGCTCCAGAATGCCATGACTTCTGAAAGTGGTGTGGAGAACCTTACATTTTTTCCACTTGCTTCCACCTCCTCCTGCAAAATAATGCCCTAATTTGTAAGAAAATTTCATTCAACAACTGGATAAAATGTCTTGCATTTAATTTAGTAAGATAAACTCACTAAGCTGCTGTCGTCATCTGAAAGTGGCGTTTCAGCAGCCGTTACAAATGCTGAAAACTAAGAACGTGACTTACAAAGACGAGTTCATTGAAAGCAAAAAATTTATGGAAAGTATGACAAATGAAAAAGACTGAATCGGAAACTTACAGGCATCATCCGAGTCACTTCCCTGCTTGGAATAAGCTGTCTCTACTCCGCTTTCTTCGCGCTCAGTCTACTAAAATTACTTTGCATTCAAGCACTGTGCAAAGTTAACTGCTAGCAAAAGTAGACAGTGTTAAGAAATTTACATGCAAAAAGAATAAATCAACTTACTGGTTCGCACTGTCCATAATCACGGGCACAAAGTAGTTGCCCACGCGAACCATCTCTTGTAATGTACCACACGGAAGCTGTGTTTGGCCAAAAAACCGACCGGGTGCGTCTGTCAGCACCGCGCAAAATAACACACACTGATACTGCCCGGCAAGCTGCTTCTAGATGCAGCTCGCAGTTATGGCCGTTTTGAACAGCTTCAACTAGAAAAATTATTGAGTAAAATATATGGATACCATAAATGTAAGGTAAGAAAACTGTTGCAACTGATCAAAGGCAAATAATTGATGAAATTAGTATATTAAAAAAATCTAAGTAGGACAACGTACAATAGAACTGTTGGCCGCGATAGGAGGCATCGAATGCTGCGAAAGACTGCTAATCGTCTCTCAGCTCGGTCGCGACCAATGTCTGAATGGCATCCACGCCGACGCCAAACACTGAAGTAAGAGCGTCAAATATAGTCGCGCCCTCGCTAAGAATCGAGGTCACTCCCAGTCCTATTGCCGAGCAGTAAGCTCGGATTCTATCCACAACAAAGCTCTCAACTACTTCACTGCAATAATAATAATAACAAAGGCTTAGAAATTTATTAAAGTGCACATTCATAGTGATGAATGCATAAAAATCCATTATGGGTTGATAGAATTAGCAGGTTAATTAAATTTAAATAAAGACATACCAGCAATGGCGTTGAAAGCCGCAGATGATGATATCACAGTAGCTGCTAGAAAAAAAAATTATGTATAAAAACAGCAAACATTTGTAAATGAAATTCATGTATTGGGAATGCAAAAATTTTTTATTGTATTCCAATCCACTACATCTCCTTGAAAACTTGATATTAAATTTGTGAAGTTGAGGGGGATATTGAGAATTAATAAATTACTAGAGATAGATAATTTATATATTGAATTAACTATTTTTAAATATAAAATGTGTTTTTCACGAAACAAGTAGAGCACTTATCATAGGTCAATAAACTATGTACAAAAAGTTTTGATCTACAGAGTGGTTGCATGCTCAAGAACTTGAGACCAATGTTAATTATATGGATGTGCCCAAATCTTATTTGCCTGTTTTCTTCCTATTATCAGCAAAATATTTTTGAATTAGGTATGCATTTGGCATGTTGTGATGGTTTCCTTACGTAAGTTTGAAAGTTTCCAAAGCTTTAGTCTATACTAGTGTATTACAGCTTATATTTAAAGGTTTTCAATTTTTGAGATCAGTTTTCTCATATTTGTTTGAGTGGCCAAAAGTTTTATTTGTTAAATGACTTACTTTAAGTTTGCTGCATTTCTACGTCGAGTTAAAACTGGTAGTTTGACATACTGAGGTTTTGTAGCACTTTTTGTCTTAATTTAAATTTTATTTCTCTAAGTGATTTTCATTACAGACTGTGATTTTGATGTTCCAAGAACTGTTATACTGCATAACTTTTAACAAAAAAAATGAGACAATTTTTTACGTTTTCATACTGAAGAAGGAATAGAAGTATGAATCAAATTACTGAGCTGCTTTGATATCTCAGCTTCAACTTTTAAAAAAATGATTATATGACATTTGCAAGAAATATATGCAAAAAAAGCAGTGATGTGGAGCATGTAGTGTGTTTCACAGCACTGAAATTGTTTAAAAAACAAGCAAAATTTTATAGTTACATATACATTCTATTTTTCCATTCAGCCAAAGCTTTCTCGACTTATCTCTTTTATTTTTATTTATCGAGAGAATGATTTCTTATCTACTCATTCCTTTGTCATAGAATGAATAGTAATATTTACTCTCATTACTATTTTCTGACATCATTAGTGTTGGTAGTAATGCATAGTTCTCGCTTTGTTGTGTACTAATAAAGTATTTTCTTTTGTTATTTTGCAAAGCAAAACCGAAGTAAACAAGACTGAAATGCAATACAAACGAAGCTCAGAAGAGCGAGAGAGAACTGGGCAGGGATAATAATTTTAAGGCAAGAGTTCCTCATGTGCTATAACAGTCTTTTCTGAATTCTGAGCAAATTCAGAAAATAAATAGAGCAAGCACAATAAATGATTCTACGGTGTATTTTAGAAGGATTCATTTTTGAAGAAAGCTAAGGTTTTCTTCACAAAAGGCTGCTAGATGTTCCATTTCTGTTTTTCATATGAAATAATCGCTTATAATATTCTGATGCTCTATCACTTTACTGTCAAGTAGATTTTTATTGCCAATTAATTATTTAGTTATGTTAGTTCTGATTTTTTTTCGCCTTTAATTGGCAGTTAAAAAAGTTGCACATGCTTGCACATTCTGTCCAGGTTTTTGATACTTTCATGTGATATGACGCAAGCATGAACAGTCAGCTTAAAAGATAGTTCAAGCGCAGTAATATATGAAGTTAGCAAATCGCTCTCGAGGTGATTTTGCCTATAATATTTGAGATTTGTGCATCGTCGTTTAATTTATTGAGCTTGTGCTGTTGGCAGTATCATTGCTTCTCTTCATTTGTTGCAGCAATGAAAAAGCCAAATACACCACACACCACACACCACACATCACACATCACAAAACCAGCAATGCAGAACGTTATTTACAAAAACTGAAATACATATTGCTTCCTCTATCCCTTCAGCCATCCATCCATCTATCCACTTATCGATTAATTCATCTATTTGCGTTGTACTCGTTAGTTGCAGCAATGTGTTTTAAGTTTAAATGTTGTTGAGCAACACCAACTCACACCTTCTAACTTGCACGAAGATGAAGTAGGAGGAATAGAGTCAACCTCACAACAGCACCACAATCACCTGCTAAGATCCTTACATCCTTTCAGCAATCCCGACTTCTACTCCTTAATATCTTATTGTTGCTTGTACAAAGTTCTCTTTCATTCATTCATGAATTAATTATGGTTAAAACACTGTTTAATACATGCTTGGCAGCTGTGTGCAGGCATAATTTATATGAATATGTGTCAGATTTACCGCCATCCTGCAAGCAACGTCTACTTGAGTTTTTTAGCTCACATGATCAGGTAAACAAATTACGTTATTTTAGTTCACACTCCATTTAGATTTTGTTCAAAATTATTCAAACTTTCTTATTTATTAAATAATGAAGTAATCTATTAGTTTGACTAAACATTTGAGTTCCAAAAATTGCGTTAATAAAAGGTATTTTATATGAGCACAAGTAATAGTTCTGGTTAAATTTCTAAACATGATGATGATTTATTCATTTGTACAAGCAGTTCGGTAATATCTCAATGATTTATGTAGTAATCACTTATTTACCACTCCTATCATTTATCATAATTTGTATATTTATCATTTAAACTGGTGAAGCCCACACTACGTTTTAGTTGTTTCTGTCAGAATGTGCTGAGCTCGTCTCATCACCATCTTTTGGACGTAACTTGACCGAACTACGTTTTTATTTAAGCGATCAGCTGACGGACAATATCTTGGAGGCTATTGCAGCTCATAACCGTGCTTTTCAGCGAATTGCCATCATATTTTGCCAGAATGTTTCTGATAAGGTAATTTTTCTGTTTACTCAGATTTATTCAGAAATAAATTTAAAATTACTTAAAAAATGAATGGTTGACAAGATTTATCTATCTTTCTAACTTCTGTTCTTAAATTTCAAATTTTTTAAATTTCTGACAGCTTGTAGTAGTTCCGTTTTCGGAACAAAATAAGAATATAATTTCCAATAAAAGGTGTTTCAAGTTCAACATAAAAAAGTAAAAAAAGGTTTGAAATGAAAGTTAGAAATTCTAAAATTGTTTCAAATTTAGGGTATTCAAGCTATCACACTTGGACAATGGAAACTTGAAAAATTAGAATTGCGCGCTTTACGAAAGCTAACTTGCGATGGTTTATCATTGATAAAATCCACTTTTCTGCACACAGTTGATCTAAGTTCCTGTACAAAGGTTTCACGTTTACATTCATCGAATTTATGGTATTAGGTGTTAAATCATTTGTGCTCATTTAAAACACCCATTCTATATGCAGTTGTGTAATTGACTAGCATAATGAATTACTTCTAATGCTGATAAGAAAATATAATGGTTATATTAGAATTATTGAATCAGGAATTTGTACATCCGTTTGGTTCAGTGAGTTGTGTAGATATTGACACGCTATTAGTGTCTGGTTGGGTTCCTAGTTGACTAACATGGTGGTATATTCATTAGCCCAATGAAGATCTCTTAGATGACGAGACTGAATTTGCGCATGCTAATATCATTCTGATGCTAGCATAAATTGTGCTGATCAGAGGCATTTGTCAGAGGGCTAAGTTAGTCAGAACTAGTATACAAATAGGGTATTATAACCTGCACCTTGCATAGCTTCATACCAATATCAGAATATGCATATTGCAGGGTTAAGTAGAATTGGTCTTTTGCTGCGTTTTGTACTTAATTAATAAGAATTTGAATTTCTCGAATTGCTTTGTCACTACAAATCGCTAATATTTTCTTTCAGATAAAAAGTCATGGAATATATCAATTGGTATCTCTGAATCGTAATATTCGTTGCTTGTATTTGAATAATTGCAGAGGTCAGTCGTGCAGTAATAATCGAATTGTGGTGAGATCGTTATATGCTTTTGCATTTAGTGCTGCCTTTAGATGTACTGCGTTCCTATGCTTAACTGAATAATTGAAGGAAAGGAATCTACTGAATTATTTGCTTCTGACACTTCATATCTTAGTTTGTATTTTTATTAAATTGAATACTTCAGCTTTCTTGCTTGGTGCTTTGCATGAGCTAAACTTGTAGGCTTAAATGATCAGGCGTTGTATGATATTGCACACTATCTTGGTCAAAAACTAGCTATTTTGGAGCTTGATTTTTTACCTAACGTAATCGATCCTGCTTCTGCCTTGTTCTACTTGAGTCGTAACTGCTCAAATATCAAGCAGTTATCGCTTTGTCGCTTTTTTGAAGTCTGCTTTTTCATCAAATCTTTTTAGATTAAAGTTGATCAATAAAATAATATTCATAAAAAATTATTTCAAGCTAAATGTAAGTTTGTTTTTTCAGTAAAATGCAAATTTTATTTTATTTTTTATTTGAAAAGTAAGAATGAAAAATACATTACAGTACCCTGCTTCAAATAGTAGTAAACGTATCTGTTGTGAATACCTCCAAATTCATCTTATTATTCATTTCTGTAGTTTTATTTAGGCAGAAAGTGAACTTGCATTAATGCCTGAATATAGAATTGCTGGTGCAGGCTTGCGGGATGTTGATTTATACGGTTCGTTTAACTTTAGATTCTCTCTAAATAATAATATTTATCTATTATGTGTATCTTTCTAATCAAATTTAATGATTTTTTGGAATTTTAATATCAAGCACTATTACCATAGAACCATTACACAAACCATTATAAGCTATTTTTTTTTCCATGAATTTTTTCCTGGTTTTATTTCCATTTTCTTCAAAAAACTGCAAACATTTTTATCTCAAACTATTTCTGCATATCAGTTCTTTTTTTTTTTTGCAGGGAACTACTTTTTCACTTTACCTGTATTACCACCAACAGTAAGCAGAATACGACTATCTTTAAGTGGCAGCGAAGATGTTGATAGCTTAATTAATCGTCTAGACACATTACCTCAGCTTAGGAGTATTCATTTGCAGCTAAACTGCAAGGACCCTAGCTGGGTAAGTAAACTGATCAAATATTTACTTTTGTTTGCAGTTTTGATGATATTTTCCATTTTTGACTGATTTGCTTTGATTATACACAATCATGTTTTAATTTTAGTAATTTTCGTTTCATAATAAAACTCTTTCACCAATTATTTCCTGTCAGTTCATAAAACTACTGATCACTACGCATACTTGCAATTCCGCTAAAGCAACAAATTTTTCTTCAAACTAAAACGCAATAAATTTACGAACATTGCACGAACATGCTAGATTTTTCACTTCACAACAAATTTGCTTTTGCTTCATATTCTATTCGATACTTCAATAGAGAAAAAGCATTAGTGTGAATTTTTTTTCCTGTATTTCGTGATGTATAAAAATTGAATTTTTTGAAAAGAAAGATTTTGAAAACTTCTACATGAAATGTTTATTACAAAAGATAAAAAGTGCAAAAGTAATTATTCATTATAAGTTGAACATTTTTAGTTTTCTGAGATAATCAAGTTTGTGATCTCTAAAACGTTCTATCGGATAACTTTGATTTTTTTCAGCGATGTGTAGAAGATGCTAACGCTTTCCTACGTTCTATATTACCTTATCTTGGAAACAAAATCACACGACTTCATGTAAATTCCAAGTTTTCTGAAAATTTTGAGCAAAAATTTCGATCACTACTACTTTTACATTACTTCGTTTGCGAATTCTCAGATGTGTATCTCATCTCATACTTATCAATTCAGGACTGCTAAATATGAACAAAATAAATGCCCACTTACTGCTCAAATTTCTAGATATCGCTTCCTACCATTGTTGATGGTGTCTTTGGTCTAATAACGCAAAGCCTGCCCAATTTAAGTCATTTGGCACTGGATGTGAAACATATCAATAACAAGTTGTTGCGGTTATTTTTCACTGGTTGGTAATTCAATGCACAGATTCTTTTTCATTTTCACTATTTTAATGTTGCAAATTGGATCAAATCTCATTTTGACTCCACTTTCAGAATTTAGATACGAGATTTTTGATTTCAAGTGTAAATTTACTGAATGACTCAAATTTATTTGCTGTTGTAACAAATTCCCTTTCTTCAGGAGGCATACGTTCGCCAGGATCAAGGCTACGGTCACTTAAACTACGTCATCTTCGAGCTACATACAGAGCTTTGTTTGCAATCGCTCGGGGTGCTCATTCAATAACGGTTATCTCTTAGACAATTCTTGGCTTATGTCTTTCAATATTTGCTTTTAAAACGGCAATTTAAGTATATATTGTTCGTGGGCTTCCATATACTTCCACATTTCCAAAATTCCACTCAAAACTACTATAATTTTTTTGTCACAAACTTATGAATAATGTGCGTCACTCCACATGTCGTTATACATCATTAAACGCTATTGCAAAAGACATTAGAAGAAATTTTAATTCTAGGACTTGGAGGTATCACACATTTTATCTGTTGATGATCGTTTCTTAGCACTATTGGCAGACAATTGTATGAGTTTGAAGAACGTCAACTTTAATGGCTGCAGATACGTCACAGATGAAGGACTTGCTGCGCTTGCAAGGTTATTTTTAAAAGTTTTTCATAATTAGATGACACAGGCCAGAACTTCATTTGTGCATGTATAAATACTTCTAGAAAAATAATTGGAAAAATTCCCTGGGAATTAACTTGTCAATCTCACAAATGGATAAAAACGAACTAGACTTGCTCCAACTTTCCGAGACGACCTCAACTTATCAAAGGCAGAGAAATGTGAATTTCAGGAAATGTTGCTTAAAAGAAGTGCGTATTCGTGCAACGTCATGTACAGACAAATCAATTTATCTGCTCGCGCAGTTCTGTCCAGATCTTGAGTGGATTTCGCATGCCGATTTTAGCGGACGCCCTAAGTTTAGTGCTAAAGCACTACAGTGCCTCAAAGACTCTTGCGTTCAAAGAGTAATATGCTAGCAGTAAACAGTGATATGTTAGAAGACCATATTTGTATCGTATATTTTGGAAAACCTCACAAAAAAGCCAACAACGGCAACTGATAGTTCATAAAATAAAACATACTGTAAACTTCCATAACGCAGTATAACAAACGAAGAGCTTTAATCCCATGTTTGAATCAGACAGCACAAATATTACAGAACATTTTAACCTATTTTTAAACACCGATATCAGATTTTTTGCAGTTCACACCTATCTATATATATGCAAGCAACGCAGTGTTCTTTCTTACCCTTATATAACTAATTTATCATTAAAGTCCTAATAAAACAATGCTATGACTTAGAAGAAAACGTCATATATCGAAGACTACGCAAGATAAGTAAGTGCAGGTGCCGGTGAAAAAAATGCCACTATTTTTGCATAACTGGTTGCACACTAGCAAAAGTGCTTGATGAGTACATTAACTAATAATGCACGGTCCCTACAGTTTACTTCAGAAGCAGAGGAAATATCTAAATCTTTAGAACTTCAGCTAAATAACAATTATAAACATATAATTAATGCTCAAATAATTCAGTTTACTGACTGCTAAAACATAGATATCGAGAAAACAAAAATGTAACGAACAATATAATTAAGAATCCATTTAGCTTCACTTAGGAGGCTGCGCTCCACCATTCCCATTTCGTCCACCTGCATCATTTCCACTGCTTGGATTCCCTAAAAAATAAATATAAAATCTTATCTATCCTGAACAGAAGCTGGTTTCTTATGATGTCAACAGCATTTACAATTAGCAATTAAGTCAATAAAATATGCACTATAATAAAGCAAAGAAACAAAATACCCTGATTTTGAAACTGTCGCCTTAACTGTTCAACCAGATCGGGGTTAGCATCCTGCATCTGCTGAGCTAACTATGATTAAAAGTCTTGTAAGAGATATGAATGATAGAAAAAAAGCTTAAAATTGTTAAAGTACTTCCATATTAATTCAGTTAGTAATTACATATTTTGTGCAAACAGAACCTGTTGACCAGCTTCGATAAGATTAGAGACACCACCAGCAGATCCACTACCTAAGATACCAGACATCATCTGCGACATCATACTTTGTATATTCGGATCTGACATCAGTTGTCTAGCCATTGTCATCATAGCTGGATTACTAAGCAGTGCACTTACGTCTGGCATTTGGGTACCCAAAAGCTGAAAAATAACAGGTAAAAACCTTTAACAGTATATGTAAGCATATACACGTTAAAACGTACGTGACCTACTCCTGATCCTTGTCCGTTTTTGAATGAGTCCTCTATCTCTTTGAGTTTCTCTTCAGCAATTTTCAAATTATTTTTATAACTTTCCTGAGTCGGGTCCAGTTCTACTGCTTTTTGATATGAATTTACGGACTGCTCATAACGATTTTGACAAGAATATGCCAACCTTAAAAATGAGAACAGTTTTGAGTCATATGGATAACAAAAATGACAGAAGTAAATATGAATTAATATCACACCCCATACGTCCGTATGCTTTACTATATTTTGGATCCAAAGCCAAAGCAGCACGACAATCTTGTATAGCTAGGTCGTATTGTTCTAATCGACAGTAAGCCGCAGCTCTAAAATTTGGAAACATCTTAAGAGAAAACAGATTAGTGCAAACTAAACAATAATTTCATCCTTACGTGAAGAGTGAAAGAAAAAACTGATACTTTTTAAAATAGCAACAAAAAGTATTATAAATGCATAATTAACTATATTCACCGATTACAAAAATATGCTGGATCCTTGTGCAGCTTGATAGCTTCATTGTATTTCAACACTGCATCATCAAATCGTGATGCTTTCATTAATACATTTCCTTCTTCTTTTAGATTATTTGCTAACTTGATATCTTCTACAGTTGGCGTCGGTGCAGCATTCATTCTCTGAAAATGAAGTCTCTCAAGCAATCAATAGGCCTACTAAGAAGTTCTCTTCAAAACAGAGACCTCATAAGAGCAACTAAAGTAACCTGTTAGCAATAAGCAGTCAGAACATAAATTGACACATGTCGGACCACAAGCTTTTATGATTTTTCAGGTAAGAAATTGTAATTAAATAATATAGCTTCATTTTAAAAATTATTCGAAGTTAAAATGGACCAGAAAAAATTATATACCTCAGAGCTTTCAGACTGGTGAAAAATCTCAAAAAGAGGTTTCGAAGGTTGGAACAAATAACTGGAATCTGTTATTTCAAATGCTGCCTCAAGACACTGAATTGCCACTGAAACTATTTTGTATCAAATTCAGACGAATTAATCACTACTACTGCATATGAGGTCTAACATTAACGCAATTTGGGAAAAAAGCATAAATTCTTGAAATTAATGAATGTACTGTGAAGCGAAATGGAAAAAAATCATACTTCATAGCAAGAGCCCTAGCAAAGATCTCAAAATCGTACTTTATATTCAAACTATATTAGTGTTGGATTTGTGAGTGTTTACTAAAGGTTCTAGATAGCAGCGGCTCTAGGTACAACTGACATTTCTAATCAATACTCTTGTTATATGGCTGAATACACTCTCATCAAGCAACTTTGTAAAAAAGAGTAGTATATCAAATACCATAAGCCAAAAAAAACGTTTTCCAGATAAATAAGTGTGGTATAAAATATTCTACGAGTATAACGCACAGTCGATTTGCACGCAAATGTATCAATAAATAGAAATATGGGTTCAAACAATGATACTAACCTTCAACTCCTTCAACGTAATCACTTGCGCATTGTTCACGCGAAATGCGCTGACGCAGGAATTGAATAAATGACACCACAAAATCCTTCTCTTCCTCTTCAATGTTTGCACGCTGAAGTGTTGGTGGTGTGCAAGGCGAATCACACATCTTTCTTTTTTCTGTTATACATTACAAACTTAATTTTCACAAGATAATTCAATATCACTGACAATTATCAAGAAGTTAATACCACATTCCTGTATTTTCGATGCAGTTAATGTTGAAGTCAGTCCCCTGAATATGTACAATATCTATTCATTCAATACTTACGTTAGCGCATTTCACACGAATTTTCAATCTAAAATATCCGACTACCTGACGTTGTCAGTCAAATTTAAAAATACTTGATCACTCAATAATTAACTACTGGCAGTACCACGTAAAAGACTTAATACCTGACTACTAGCGATATGTGAAAATGTTTAGTTTAGCGTTCACAATAGCTAAGTGAAGGCCAAGAAAAATTGCGCTTAAGGCACAAAGTACACACAGACTGACACGTCAACCTGTAAACTACACTAACAAAAAAGGTACAACGACCTACCTAACAAGATACGACCACATGACGAAAGAAAACAGGTCCATGCCAGCTCAGTCTAACCCCACCCAACTTTAAATGATTCATTTTAACCCAATTTATTTTATCCCAATTTATCCCACCCCATGAAGGAACACGCAACGCAAGAAAGCACACACACACACCGCCCATTTACGCCAGCAGTGCACTGTTTTCTTTATACTCTTGCAATCAGTCTAAAAATCAATGCACTAATAGTGCTGAATGCAACAGGTACATCTCAACGTTGCAGCACTTCCCTCACGTTTAATAATAGCTTGCACCAGCTGATTGCATAGTAGTAACGGGTCTTCTGCAACCAGTACAAATCTGCTCTGAAAAAACTGCAAAAACTTAACCACCATGGGGGTATCACTAATACTATTCCTCTCAGTTTCCCCTTGCTTTCACTGTAATCTTTCAGTAACTCTTCACGCAACTTCGCACGTTAACTAGATTCAATTGAAAGACGAACACTTCTATGTTGTGGATGTCGTACAAGGAATACTGTGCAGCGTTATGCCATGTAATCATTCAGAAATACCAACACTTGCACTTATTCCATCTTGAGAAGCTCCATCAGCTTAAGAGTTCCAAATAGAATAGTGCAATTAAATGCAGATCTACTCATGAAAGCTAATTTAACGCTTCAACTCATATGAATCTCGGTGTTAGCAAAAACAATAACGATAAATTTTATTCTTAAAGAACGTTTAATAGTCACTACAAGTTTCGAGCAAACGATACAGAAGAAATACAATTACCATAAAAGACAGATTTGGTAAATGAAAGAATAACCCTGTAATCATCTACATAGATATGCTCTACAGCAGAAGTAATATATGCAAAAATATTTGCTATAAACAAGTCAAACTGATTAGTATAAGCCCACAAATTACAAGTCTTATTACTTTCCATTTTTGGAATGAATCTCTTTCTGGTTTCCACTCTACATTTCAAGTGGAACCATTTAAATCACGACAAAGAATATTTCTTTAAATAATTTTATCACAGAGTACAATTATAACAGCAGAAGTACAAGTGGATAACGGTCAGTTATTGTTGTTACGTTGGAATGCTACAGGCGGTATATCGACGACATATATTCCATTTCATGCGACTTATTTGAGTCAAAGAGATAATGATTAAACAAACATTCTCTACGGTCATTAATTCTTCAAGGAAGACATACTAGTAAACAAAGGAATTGGGCAATTTAAGCTCAAAAATGTTTTTTGATTTATAAAGGAACCCGTATTCACTGACATCGTCATTTCGTTGAAGCAATCGTTTGATTGTTCGAGACAGATTTGTTTCTTCTCGTCTAAGATACATTTCTTCAACAAGCTTATTAAAATCCTGAGAACGAAATTTATCCAGAATTGCTCGCGTTTTTTGCTGCAAGAGAAGAATAATAGGTTATACAGTAAGAAAAAGATGTTAGCGTTTCGAGAGATTTTTTTTCCTATTCATGCACTTTGATTTTTTATCACTGTGCTTTATTCCCAGGTAATGAATTCTAGTAAACTTAATCATAATTATATATAAATAAAAGTAATCAGACTACGTACTTCTAGGACCACTGCAATATGAAAAATTAAGCAATGCTTACAACCTGTTCTCGCTTTTCTTTTTCGGTCGGATCAACTGACATATTCACGTTTTGACGCAATTCATTGACAGAAGTTGGAGCAGCTTCGGATTCTGCAACAATATCACCAGAAAAAAAAACAATTTTCAAAACTAGTGCAAAAAATTATTAAATAAAGATCTTAAAATTATGGATGAATTGAGGACAAAAAATTCAAAATTAATCTGTAAAAGTGCAAGTTACTTTCGTGTGCTGGACAAAAAAGTGTGTTTTTTCGGGAAGTTTGCAAAGACTCGGACGGGCTCCAGTCAATGCTCATATCAAGCGAAATTGTATTCTCATCTAATGCACTAGTATCCGTTGCTTCATAATTATTTGCTCTATCAGTACCACGGAACTGCCAGTTTTTGCTGACGACCATATCTCCTGATATTGTTGACGCTAATGCGGTACCTTTCGATACAAATGGTACAGCAAGATTTTTCACATCCTTGCCCGTGGCCTAGAAAATATGATATACACAACATTTTTAAACACAAAATTTGTAACTATGCTGTAAAGTTTATAATTGCAGTAAACTGATAGCAGTAGAATAAGAAAACCCAAAGTAAAAACGGACGTAAAATAAAGCTAAAATAAAAACAATTGAAAAAACAAAAAATCTTCTGGAAAAATCGACAAACATCTGGTACACCTTAAGCATTTCGCTAACGTCATCAATATCAAAGAGAACTGTTGCATCTTCTTCTAGACACAATGCTGCTTGTTCGTCATCATCGACAGATGCAAGTGGCGCCATGTTAGAATTTCCTTTAATACACTGAACGTCTAACAGAAGGTTCAACGACGGATGACCTCGTAAAGCTCGTTGTTTGACAATCTGAACAGAGAAAATAAAATTTTACTTATATTTTATAAACCCAAATGCTATGACAAACATTTTAATATGCTTTGATGCTAAAAATTAATTTGGAATATATGAAATGTTTTTTTGAAATATGAATCAAATACTTGAGGTGGATCAAAAATACTTGAGGTAGAACAAGAAAGTAATCGGTTAGCGTTATTAAAATGTTTGACGTTTATTATCGACTTCATTAAGCCCAAGAAATCTCACGCAAATCTTGGTAAGCTGAGAAATATAATCAAGAGCTTTAAACATATACCAATGATGTTCTTTATATATATCACGTATCACATGGAGGTTATTCTCCTTTTCCGCTTTATATATATAAATTATATATCATGTGCAGGAAATCAGTGGTTAATCTTCCTTTCTGTCTTTTTGATTCTCGCGTTCCAAAACTTTCGCCGTTCTCGACCGCCACACAATTCTGCTGATTTCGGTACACTGGTCGAGTGCTTTCGCATGACCTTCACGGAACTTTCTTCAACAACCTTACTTGTTTCCCATTTGTTTTCATTTACGATTGTAGACTCGGCTTTTTTCTGTTTTCCTTCATTTCCTGCTTACCTACTTTGTGATGCGATCGACTAGCTGGCGTTAAACCACTTGGTAACTGAGCAGAGCCGAGCAATTATATATATAGATACATATAAAAACATCTTTGCTATATGTTTAGTTGTTACAAATAAATTAAAGTAGAAGATACTTGTTGTACATGTTGACAAAGCGATGGTATAGCCAAAAGCTGGCTACTAAAGTTCAAATATTTTGCTACCAAATTATGAATTGCAATACGTTTTGCACCATTAAAACCAAACGATGATTCCAAAGCCATGGATTGCAAAGCAAAAGCTAACCGGAATAGCTGTATCAACATCTGAAACAAATATACATAGAAGTATGTCTATATTTACACATAAGTGAAAAATTCTATTATTGCACCTTTCAAATTTTGAGGTTTTCTAGCTACTTTCTACATAATGGTTTTTGACTAAAGGTTATAAGTGGCCACAATGATGGATGAGATAAAAATAAATAAATAAACAAAATTCAGTCCATATTAAAAGACAAGAATAAAATATTCCAAATACAGTGAAATTCCACAATAAAGAATAAACTAGCTTCATCAAATCCAACTTCAATGCACAATAAAGCCATTGTACAAAGAACAGCATTCATATGATCATCCTGGGTTGCATCCTCGGATACCATCCATACACATCTATAACATTATGCTGTTTACAAAGTATTTATTTCTAGTACATCACTCACTGTCAGTTAAAAATAACGTAAAAGGATGCTCCAATCCTTGAGAATTTTATTAAAAGAAATGCAGCACGAAATCCAGATTTTAGTGAAACATGCAGAAAAATTTACTCATATAAAGTAGTAAGTAAATAAGGTCCGTAGTTTCGCATAATCATTTCATCCGACCGACTACATTTCTCGAAAGTAAGTTGTAAATCAGTAACATCGCTGATATAAGGTAAATTCTGCAGTACTGGCAAATTATCATGTCTACAACAAATTTTTCTAGTATCAGGTTTATACGAATTTGAGAATTTGAACTGTAAAAAATACTACAAAATAACTTTTTGATACGAACATAATTTATAAAAAAATTTTTGCTGTTGTTTTGAATCTGGAGCGGGCGATCGACATTTAAAATATATGAAGAGAATCTTATTAATGAAATGAAGTCATAAATTGCAAAGATCAAAAATTAGAAAATGAACTAAAAAAATAGACCGATCCAGTAAAGTGTGAAAGATATATTGTGTATCTAAGCGAACAACGGGATCGGCAGCTACTGCTAATCGGAGTAACGTACTCGGGAAACTATTACCGAATACTGTGGACATAAAACCTGTTCGATACTTTGTTGCCACCCGAAATGAAATCAATATCAATAAGAGGGAATCAGAAAAGCGATAAAATAAACTAAGATAAGATCTAAAAAAAATATGAAAAATACCTTAAGAAGTGTTTTCACCAGCACGTGTTGCAAAAATGTATCACTTGGTTTTAGATCTTGACTTCCCTTTCTGTGATGAGGTATGTTGGCCGATATAAAAAGCATGATTTCTACCTAAAATTTAAAAGACTAAATAGAGGAGTAATTAAAGTTAGACCAGGAAACTGTCTAATTTCGTCATTTAAAAAAAATGATATTTACAATCTTAGTCCATAGTAACTGAATTTTCAATGATAAATTTTACTTTAGAAAAAATAAGAATTTGCACCACATGAATTAAAATATTTTGTTTTATATATACCACAATTGTATAAAGCTCTTTTTCTTAGCTTACATACTGAATATAATTTTGGAACTTTCAAAAATTTATTAACAGAAACAATACCATTTATTTTAAAAATAATTCAACAATACTAAAAACGGAGGCACAAAACCTTCTGATAATCGGGTAATGCGTAAGCGTAATCACCCATGGCATTAATCAAGGATTCCTGATATATTTTTTCCTGATCCACTGAAGGACATTCTTTGCTTTGTTGAAATTCAACTGATCGGCGCAAATGCTTCAACAAAGAATTGAATATACCTAAACTAAAATCCTTCATAACTTATGATATTCATACTACGAATCCCTCAATAATCTTTTTTTGCGACGTTAACTAGAAACATGACAGGATCATATTACTCAACAAAAAATTTGGTATTTAAAAGTTAAACCAAGCATAGGTTCGTTTGCATTATGATAAGGTGTGAATAAAAATTATTAGTTTTATGATCATAATTTTAAAAAATTACTTGCCTAATACTAATAACTTTAAAAACGCCATATTTTTTTATCATCTGCCCGAAATATACTTAAATTCGTCCAAAGTAACTTTCACTCATATGTCGAGTATTGTATTTTTTAAAAAAATTGATTCTAAATTGAGACTTTTGTACGATGCTTATGTGCACTTCTAGTTAGTAATTTTTTGCAGCGAATTTCGATTTTTTTGAGAATCCTGACACCATGCTCCACTTTTGTTAACATTTTTCGAATACGAACTTATTAGTTACTTATGCTTTCTGATGAAAAAAAGAAACATCTTCAAAAATTGAACGAACGTTAACAAACCTATCAAGGAGGGACCAATGCTAGTTCCAGCGATAGAAACAATGCTTGATAAAACAGTTGCTATACCAATACGAACGGATGCATTAGAATTGGACATGTTTTCCAGATGAGTTATCAGAGCCTGAAACACTAAGCAGAACAAGGAATCAAAAAAACCCTGGTATTACGAGGTAAAAAAATAAGAGGCTGCTTTAGAAGTAATGATAACAAGTATCGTTTGCAGTTAAAAAATTGCTTTGATGGCCAGAATATTGGAGAATGAGCATTCTACAAAAACCAACTTGTATAACAAAACTTGGATCCTTAACACTATACATAATCGCACGAAATGTGTAAACTGCAAAGACTGGAGGTGGATCCCACTTCTTGTGTAGGTCACAATGCTTCAGAACAGGATCTAATACAGAAACTAAACCATAAGGTGTTTTCGCCATCAATTCTCTAGAATTTATGAAAAACGCAAAAAAAATGCTGTACAAAATTTTTTTTACATCAATACAAAATGAATAAAAGAACTGCAGATAATTTTTCACATGAAGATTATGTTACAAACAATTTATAGCACCAAAACTAATTACAATTAAAGATGTACATGTAGCAATGTTTATTTCGTGAGAAATGAGAGTAAAAAATAAAAATGAGATTATTTTGTAAAACGTAACAATGAAAATTTTAATGAAGCAGACCGTAAAAACTGATCAGCAAGATTTTTCGGAGTTTCTACTACTCCATCCATAATATACGGCTGATCAATTAGGGAAAAGCGTTTTTCTCGTTTTTTCTTTATTTCTTCTATAATAAAAAAGTGCATGACACGCTCTCAGTCAAAATCCGAATTAAAAAAGAGAGAAATATACTAGTATTTCGTACTTTCAACAAAAAATTCTGAGACTCTAACCAATAAAAGCTTTTAATCGTTTCTTTTACATATATATTAGATACCCGAAATAATGAAATATAATAAAGTTAATAAAGGAAGACTTCAACGGACCATTACCATCTCCTTGTAAATTGAATAGAATTGATGGAATAATCTTGTCCATATGCTGTTTTTCCCATATACTTGTTTGAAGCGGATCAATGGTTGATTTCCACACCACACCTATATATTTCTATTTCCTAATCTTAATCTGCAGTCCTGGGTTATTAAATTTTTTTGCACGTTCCGAATTTTTCACAAAAAATAAGAAATTAAACTTCAACTGACCTCTTAAACCACGCAAACCTGCATAACGTACATCTTGATAATTTTTGTTATTTGCATGACACATTGATGCAAATTTGGAAATGAAAAAGTCATATTCCCGATGATAAGCCGAAGTATTCTCTTCGATGTTAGCGAAGTTAACAAATGAATCAGTGGCTAGTTTCTGAGAAAATAAACAAACCGTTTTAATCTTGATGAAGTTGAGAGGAACATTAACCAAAATTTATAACTTCAAAAATCACTCTAACTTGTGCACATATCAGTGGTGGCTTGTAAAGCAGGAGTATGGATAGGTGATAAAAGATAAACTAGCTGTCATTTATGAGTTGATTGAAATTTTCCCAATATACAATATGTAATAATTTTTGTTTCCTCGAAATGAAATTTAAGTTTTTATATTCCTCCAGAGTGAAATTTGAGGAAATATAATCAATACTTCGTTTAGAGATGCCCTGGTAAGCAATATGTGAAAAGAACATAATTATAAAACGATCGGAGTTTTGAATTTAATTAAAAATGGAACCTCCATTTGAAAATCATTTGTTTCTAGCAACTTCTGCAACATTTTCAAGAAATGTTCAATGAATTTGTTCAAACTCGACAAGCCATGACAACTTTGTAGCAACTGATCCATAGCTTCTACTGATATCTGAAATTAATAATTCCTTGAGAAGTGATAAATTTTGATATCACTTGTACAAAGAAACTTATAAGCTAAAAACAATGCGTCAAACATTCAAAAATTTCAAGACTCAAGATTTCCCTTACCTTAACCTGATTATATCGCTGATGATACAAATCTCTGGATAATCGTGATACGATGTATTCACCAATTCGATCTAATTTCTCGGGCCGTGATATTGCATAAAATGTAAGTTTTTGCATATTAGAACTGATTAAACCGTCCGTTAAAGACCTAAAAGTAACATATTACCTCTGCCAAATAACTAATAAAACAACTGATAAAATCTGAATTTAGTCGTCGTGTATTGACTGAAGCAAACTATGATGAAAAAATTACCTTGGGTAGATGGCGTCAACAAGACGACGATATCGTGGTTTGCAAGGAGCACAGCAACATAAAAATGCATCCATAGAAGAATTGAAACGAAACTTAATAAAAAGATAATCAAACTTCCAAAAATAATTGAAAAGCAAATATATGCACCATTAGAATAGACTTGCTAGATAAAAATAGAAAATTAATATCCACAGCTAAAGATAAAATAGCATTCTTGAATAAACTACTCTTAAAATATTCACAAAAAAATTCAAATTGCACAGAAGAATTATGACGATAAAAGTTGACAAATTCAAATGTGTAAGAAATAAATTGATATTCGAAAGCAATATCATTTCAATACAATTATTATTTGGTAAGGTTGCAATATTATGTCACTGAAAGCAGTAACCGGTCTTGAATAAAAATAATGAGATCAGACAAGACACTCAGATACAGAAAGAATTATAAAGTTTAAATAATATTAAAAGTTAAATTCAACTTAAGTAGTAATAAAATTAACCTCTTTATAACCTATCTACTGCAACTTTCCATTGTGGATAAAATCGACAGAGCAAAAAAAGAATAAATACTGCAGTAGTATAAAAGAATATAAATAAAGCTCTTTCCTCCAGCGAAAAAATCTAAAACGAAAAAGCGCGCATTTCCACACTTCCATTGTGAACAGATATTCATCCCATGAACAGTAATTCAAATATTAATTTTTTGTCAGAACTTCTTCATCACAAAAATTAACAATGAAAGAGCATTACACAATTTTCAAACAAGTTCTGTAGTACATTTTTAATATAAATTTTTTCGTTCCATTTCTTACGTCATACTGTTAATTAAATTATCCTCCCATAAATAGTAAAAAAAACTTTTAAACAAAAATATCATAACAGTATTAAAGAGTATAAAATAGTGAATGCAAATGACATTCACTAATTACTTTAAGCCTTAAAATCTACAAATGGCAATAACTGTTTTGTTATCAGCAATATTTCTTTATCACAAAAGTTAGCAAGTAATGGGAATTACGCATGTCAGATTAAGTCTGATAAGGTTATCCTCTAATAGTTTTTCTAGCTAATTTTTGAACTTATCATTGGATCATATCAATGAATCAATTAAAGTACAACGTGAGAAGATTTATTCCAGAAATTAAACGAAAAATTTATTTCATTACTACTTCGTTTCTAGATAACATCAATTTTATTGCTCTTTCGTTTAAAGATAGCAAATTTTTTAGTGCTAGAAATTTTCGCCTCAGTTATAGTTGAAAGGTTGTTATTTGCTTTCTAATGTTAAGAATCAGTTCTAAAATTCTGGTTACTAATATTTGTTTTAGTAAAGAGACAGATACGTTTATATTTGTAAAGAAGCAAACAGTAGCATTTCTCATCAAACGAGTGAGTTAGTCTTCATCAATTTCTAATATTTGCAGCAGCATCAACAGAATACGCATATTGAGAAAGTCATCATATAATGGTATAGAAATATTTGTTGCTGTAATTGTATTAATATTAATATCAGTAATATTTACTTCTAATTTTCTTAATATATTGATTTTTATAAAGATTTTTAAGCGAAAAAACTTTTTTTCGCTACTATTTTGGTAAGTAATTATTTATAGTGACAGATTGCACAGAATTAAAATGTATAAATAATAAATGTATTAAAAAATCAAATTCGAAATTCAGTAAAAACAATTCTACATATTAGTAAATGTTCGCTAGTAATAAAATAAATAGCTTAGAATACAATTTACAGTAAGAATGTTTTCTTCGTGAAATTGATTCGTTATAATGGCTAGGATTGTTGTGAAGAAATATGCTAAATCTTGCGAGCAGTATTATGATGAGTAACAATTTTTTTGCAGCATAACATGCATGGATTCTATGAAAGTTATTAAATTGGAGCTTTTTTTAATTAGTATGACAAAGTTCAAAGTTATTTGCAGTGAGAAAGATCTTCTATTCAAAGGACAAGACAATAAAATGGTTGTAAAAAGGATATTGAGAAGCCGAAGAAAATCCGTATCATAAAAGTAAATCAAATATAATCATTACTTACTCATTAAAGAATCTATCGCTGAAAACACGTAAGAGATGCATACGCTTTTGATTTATTGAAGAAGTTTTCGTAAAAGCTAGTAATTATAAGCTATAATAATACATTTTCTGTCTGTTTATTTGTTGTATTAAGGATTTGATTTTTTCTGTTTTCTTACGTCATTATTGTGGACAACAAAAGGTATACTTTGTATACTGTATCGAAACTCATAAATACATAAAGCTACTAGTTAAGTAATATTTAGTAGTTATAATATAGTATTATTCTTTAGAGTCCATTCGCGATAAACTGCGGTAAGTGATCTCATAATTTGGAGACCGATAAACGGAGTGTTTGAATTTTCAGTTATTTTTTTCTATTTAAATTCAGTTTGTCAGAAAAGTTTGTCTGCAATAATAGTGATGAACTGAGAGAAATAAAATTTTATTGTGAAGAATTAATCGTATAATTGTAGTTAAAAATTGATGTAAATTCAAAAAGTAGTGAAAAAACTCATCATTTTTCTCGAAATTCATTTATCATATCAATCAATTCGTGAGTTGTAATATATTTATAACATACTAGAAGGTGGCAAGCTTAAATCGTTTTTCAGGTTTAGCTTCTGTCAAGATCAGAATCCTGTGCGAAAATTTTAATTTAATGCTGTTCATGACTGTTTTCAATTCATTGTTATTGTTAAGTCAAGATGTCTGATCGGTTATCAAGCAGTCGCTGTCTATTCCCTTCTAGAAGTAAGTACAGTTTGATTTTATTGAATTGTCGAATACATTGTATTCCACAAAAAATTTTATTGCATATACTCGATACTGATTATTATGGTCACTTCTGTATCATTCTGCTCCATCATTTTACAAATATTCTTGTATCCAGTATGAATAAATATTTTGTTTATTTAAGAAAATGAAGTTATGAAAGAAAGAACTGTTATAACTACAAAGGAAATTAATCTTCTGCTCAGCAAGTCATTCAATACCGGCGAAAAAAATCTGTGGAATAGTAAAGAAATAATTACTTATCTTAATGAATTATGTGCAGCAGTTGTCCTAGTCAATGAGTTTCCTAGTATTATGGATAACTTCTACAGCACTATTTGTAAAAAGTTAGTTTAAAATTTATAGAATTGATTTGTAGTTTCAGAGTATTTTTCAAATAAAGTCAGTTGCATCGGAAATAAAGACAAAAGCAAATTCATAACATTGACATTGCAAATTATTAAAAATTGTTGCACCTGTTTTACGTAGAGTTGGCAAATTTTTGTTATCGGATCGAAGTTCAATACGGACGCTTACATATCGCATATTACGCAAAGCTTCTCGATCAGTCGATGATTTATCAATATTGATTCATATGCATGTCGACATATTTGTAATTAGGTTCCTCTTTTTTTTTGTTCCAAGTGTTTAGTTGAGCAACGAACTACTTATGTGGGAAGGAATGGATTGTTTATAGAAATCAGGGATTCTTTTCAAGAGTTAAACTTTGAAATGTATATTTACAGATCTTTGGAACTCGAAAAAAATAATTTAGAAGAACGTATTGAAGCTTTGAAATTATGTGTACTGATGTTAACTCGAAGAAATGAAATGCGATCATTCGATAGTGAATCGATACGAAGACATGATTCTAGCCTTTTTTTTCCTGTGAATGTTTATCGTACCATTCTGGCGATTGCCGATGGTTTCTTATCAATGCAACTGGAAAAGGCGAAAGTTGAAAAAAACGAGTAGTTGATTTGATTCATTTTCATTAATCAAGATAACAATTTACTGAAACTAAACGTAATTTATTTGATCAACTATACAATATTTGCTATGTAGTTAATCAAATAAATTGCTGTTTGATATTAGGAAAATAAGTTTCGTAATTTTATGATGCTCAAATGCTGCATAGGTTTCAGCAGTTAAGAGTTTATGAGTATTAGTTTTGTCATTTCCATGTTCATGAAACATAAAATGATATTGACAAATTCGAAGTGAAATTTCGAATTAATCTAATCATTTATAGACTGGCATTCACCTGCTTTGCTATATTAATCGAGCAGATTGTTGTTGATCCCGATATTGTTTTAAATTCAATTAGTATTGGTATGTACATGACTAGTACAATTTATTTTAAGTTCCTCTAAACTTCACTTTTAAAGATATTGCAACTACTGGAAAAGCTTAATTAATTGTAACCAAGTTGCTTATTGCAACAAATATATTTTTATTCGTAGCTCAACCATAAATTTCCAGGTTGGATTGTAGAACTCCTCACTTATGCTGCAATAAGTGACCGTCTATGTTCTCTTATCTGTCGAGTGTTGTGTACATGGCTTGATTCACCACAGTTAAGATCACGAGCAGAACTGCGATTGGTGCTAGACGTATGTCAATATATACTTTTGGATTGATTTTTGATTTGTTTAACCGATTTCTTATCTTCATTTTTGACGTAACTAATGATGAAGAGTAGGAGCTGTAGTGATGGTTCAAGATATAAGACCATTTAAGTAAATAAAATTATGTTGTTCATTAATTCGTGTTTAATTTTTAGCGAATTTTCGCTCCGATTGTTGAGATTGGACTTTTCGAGCGAAAGGAAGCATTAGATGTGTAAGTTATAGATAAATTTTTGATAAATTTTATAGATTTTGACGTTTAACATACATCAGTACTATAAATTATCGATGAATTCAGTATTTTCACTATATGCTTTTTTTATCATTACTGTCATTAAAACTGTAAGGAATTCAATGTGATCACTGACTGCTTTTGATATCAGATGTGTAGAAGTTTCATAGATATGTTACAACATAGTACGAACCTGCAATTCACATTTTTAATCTTTGTGAAAGCTGTATAAAAAGATCACTAATATAATAGTTTTGATTTGTTTGATCTAAAATTATATTCGAGTCAGTTTTTGATTTTTCATATATTATTAATTGTTTTAGAGCTGTAGTGGGACTGTACTTTATGACAGTCTTTTTTATAGAAAGCAGCAGTCCTTATCAACGAATGCACCAAGATTAGGAAACTTTTCTCAGATATTCTTAAACTTGTTGCGTACGTGGTCTGGTCTTTTGGCATGTTCTGCTTTAAGTGATCGTAAGACGTCCACTCTAAAGTATAATTTTCCTTTGTTTTCAATTATTAGCTTTTACTCACATCGTTACTAATTAATTCTATGTGCTATTTATCATCATTTCATTGTTACAGATTTTTTAACTACATTGGATTAAATCGATCAACTCATGCTACTAATCATAACATTAATGATTTAGTTATTCAAAATTGTTGCGAACTTCTGGAACTTCCCTATTCTAAAATAACATTTACAAATTGGCATCATGCTATGGAATTTTACTGTGAGCTCAAATATAATTTATAATCATTTCTTCTACTTTCATAATATGTGGTATTTAAGAATGATTAAAAAAAATATTTACGTATTGATCACTCGAGCAAATGCGTGATTTACTAGATATTTGTTCTTAAAACAGTAGAATATAGTGTGGCGTTGTTTGTTCTTGCTTGATATGTGATGTCAATTTAATGATTACAGAATATTTATATTCAAAAAACTTAATTGTAGCAACAATGCATCATCCAGATACTTATAAATGCTTATTGCGCGATGATTTTATTTTGGCGGAGTTTAAAGTCCTTCTGAAAATTGATGGAGTGAGCTTTTAAAGACCCGTTATTAGTACAATACCATACAAAAAGCAAGATTTAGTTTTGTTCAGATTCATTTTTAGCAGTGCTAAATACGTATTTTTCTAATTGAAATAATTTAGAATAGAAGTATTTCTACTAAATTTTTATACTCTATCTAAAAAAGATTATTTTTCTAGGAACAAACTATTGCTAACGACTTGTTAGTGTCATACCGTGCTGCCGTCGTTTACTTACTTATCAATGCTGATCTCATTCAAGTAACACTTAAACTTCTAACCGTTCAGTTTCAATTTCTACGTCTAATAAGGAGCTAAAATTCAAAGAAATGTTTTCAAGTTTCATGTCTTCGATTATTTAGAAAAGTTCTTCACTTCAATTAATTTTACATTACAGTTCAGCATCTGTCTGTAAGCTTTTTTGGCTCAAATTCTCAGTAGGAAAATTGCAGTTTTTACATTCAAAAAATTTTTTAAGATAGAAATTAAAATTATGCTTTATACTGTATTTGGAATAGGAATATGCTTGAAGTAATAAAGAATGCTTATTTAATTAGTTGATGTATAATTGTAACTTTCAGGCATTATCGAGAGTAATATTGCAAGATCCGGATGATTCAGTAGCACTTAAAGGAACTCTTTTGTTACGTGACCTTCTTTTCGCAGTAATCTTCCTCCTTACTTGTGAATTCAAGTATTTAGTCGCAAGAGACGTAGTTATAGTTACAAAAAAATAGTGAACATATTGTGGAATTTGTTTTATTTTTATATGATAGAAACTGTGTGATAAGTTTATTTTTTATTTATGGTAATTAGCACAAAAATAAAGCGCCGAAGTTGTTCATCTCGTAAAAATGTTGCTAGCATTTGTTTTTAAATCTGAAGATAAATGAATTCTTGTCCAAATATTTCTAAACGAAATCTTAAAAAAACATCTAATATGATGAAGATTTTTCAGGGTGCATCTTACTTACCAAGGGAATGGAAACTTCGAGTTCTTAGTTTGCCAACATTAGTACACAGTGCATGTGAAGCATCCGGAAAGTCTGTGACACTGAAAAATCATACTATGAATTATTCTGATGATGAACTTCTTTTCACTTTTCCTGGTGCAAGGTCCGATGCAATATTTTAAATATAACTGTTTTTAAACGTTAGTATCAAAATTGCAGTAGAGTTACATAAAAATTGAAAATGGTTTCATGTATGCTAAATTTTTCATGGGATATTGGTGAAATTATATTTTAATTTTTGTCAGTTTTCATTTCAAACGTTTAATTGATGTTTAATGTACTGTCACATTTGCCTTGCAACCATAGTTCTGTATCATTTGGTTGTGATTGGAATTTCAGCGATTCCTTTATATTTAAACTTCGCATTAATCAGGAATGCCTTTGTTTTGCTTCATCGTTTGGATGTTCTAAATAATATAGCGCTGATGCAAAAAACTCAACCACTTCCTGTTACAAATCTTCAAATTTTTGTACAGAGTAATCCGAAGGCATCGAGATTACGTGGAACAGAGCTTTTGGATATTGAAGTTATGGGAACCGGTAAGTATTAATAATATTTTTCTCGATAACTGAGCACAGCTTCCAAATTCTCTGTTATATTTGTACACTTCACGTGTTAGTTAGTAAAGGATGTTATAACAATGATCATTGCTCTTGTGTAAGAATTTCTCAAGTACAAATTCAATTCAAATACCATGAAGTTAAGCTGTAGATGTAGAAGTAACTCTCAATGGATTGCTAACTATAGTAGTCGACTCCGACGGAAATATTTGTTGGTCTGTTGCTGACAAATTGTTTCACTTCCTTCAAAATGATTGTGTTTTCGAAGGTTTACCAGTCAGATATTATGAAAAGTGTTTCGAAGTTATCAAGATGGTATATTGTTTTTTGCCATTATGATTTGAAAATAAATTTGGATGTTTTAAGAAATATTCATTTATTTATAGTACGCAGAAAATTGTTTATCGTAACTCATTTCAGTTTTTCAGGTTTTCTCATTCATTACTCCAACAAGTGGTTCCCTTACTAAGTTTGATGGTGACCATTTTATTATCATGTGTTGCTGTCGCGCAGTCCGTGTTTCACTGTTGTTTGCCAAGCGTGACGCTCAATATGAAGAACTTATATCTAATTTCATTAATGACTTTGTGATCAATGCTTCAACGGTGATTAACATTTTTTGATAAATTAATCGTATTTAAAAAAGGTAATCGTTCAAAACAACCGTTAACAGTATTGAGAATACAAGATATTTTAAGGATCAGTTACTGAATGGACCTCTGTCAATCAAATATCTATTGAATACTGGTGCCATGTATTATTTTGCATTCCTCGGTACAATGTCAGCAAATAAAGAAGGAAGAAAACTGTTAAATACTTCTCCGGTGCTGCAGTTGTTAGTTTTCTTTCGTTATTCATAAGTTATACCAAGTGTTTGTTCTCAAAATTCTATATTAGTTAGCTTTATCGCTGGACGCTCATTTTTCATTTATGAGTGGTGAAAATATTGCCAAGTACAAATGACTCAAGATTGATGAAAAATGTAACTTTGTTTCTTGCTTATCAACACTGAAACATCTGTTAATTATCATATACTCACTGAATTATTATTTCCTGAGAGAACAAACTTTAACTAGCTCCCATGAAAATCTAATTAGAGTTTACTTTATCGTGCTATCATCATTCATTTAATTAGTTGTCACATATATTTCTGCTTAGTTGCATCCAAATACTCACTCATTTCTTTTCTCCTGACGGAAAGCCAGTATTGGTTATGAGTTTATGTTAAATATTAGTGTTTCATACAGTTGATAATTAATATTATTTATTTTATTTTTTTATTTCCAATTTGTACAAATTATGAGGTTTACAATTTCTTCATCAATTTAACATGTACTAAACATAATTTATAACTCAGATTCCGAAATCTCGCAAATTTTTCAAAAATTATTACTGCAAAGCAAAATATGAATTAGTGTATGATACAAAAATAAGAAGTTCTGTTAAATATTATTACGGTCAGAGATAGAAATGAAAAATGATAATCAAACCTTTTGTTATTGCAATGCTTCAAATTTGTTTCATAAATTGGTTTTTCTAAAAATTATTGGGAACAATTTTACGCATTGACAAAGTTATGAAGCTATTGAACAACTCTCGAAAGCTATTAATTTCACTTTCTGAACATTAACTTCAGTTCTTGACATATTCTGACAATTATGATTTATCATTAATATTCAATTTAAATTGATAAAAAATATGCATATTTTTTCATGTTATTTTTGCCACCTTAGAATCATTTTTAACTTTATAATTATTCTTCCAAAAATACTTGTGAAAACACACTAAAAATGAGCTTCTGCTTGAGTTAGACTAATATCGAGTATCATTATAGCTACGTATTCACAAAATGTTTGTAATACTATGATTAATAAACTTAAAATGCTCTATGGAGTTTATGGTTTTTGTGAAACGTAAAAACATTGCTGTATTTGGCTTAATTTTCCAAGACATTTGTACTGTTCGCTGAGCATAGCACCTTGGGGCAATCCGGCTGCTGGATTACAGTATGGTCTGCAATGCTCGTAGCCGCGTTCGAAAACATTGTATGCTTCACAGCATGCTGTAGCATCTTGATAACCACTAGCACATATCATCACACTACCAACTTTGTTTAGTGGACATCGACCCGTAAGTACTGCTAGTTGGATCTAAATTGCTTTTAGAATTTTACGAGGGAATTATATTAGTCTAGAATTACAGATCCATTTAGTAGAGTATAATTTCATATTTACAGGATGAAATAGTTAACTGCTAAAGCATGATAATCGTGGAAATAAAAATGTTGTTACTTGAAATGGTCATGTTACGCTTCATTAGCTTTGCTACTGTTATATTATAGTACGTGATGAAAAGTAGATGATAAAAAAAACAAAAACAAACTGTGGTCAAAGTAGCATCATAGTTGCATAATACGCTGCATCCTTGACCAAGTCCTTGACAACATGTCTTGAATCGCTTGTTAGCCTCATCTTTTGTTATGCAAGGATCCCAATTAGGTAGTCGAGGGCACTTGAAATTAAAAAAACTGATCATTTTATATCCTTTACTTTTATCGGTAAACATTTTTAGAGTGCATAACTAGGTAAACTAATAAGCTTAGTAGAGGTATTTCTGTCATAATATTTGTTTGCAGTTAAAATGTTTAATTATGACTATTAAAGTATCTTTGATCTAGATCTTGGAAGTAATTTACTCTTATTGAACTCATGTATTTGTAGAAATGATAAAATGCTTTGTTGAATGTTACCTGAGCAGAAGAAGTTGGCCGTTTTTGGCTCGTTTCATAGTAGGTTTTATCAATGAAATTATTGGGTAGATCAATGCTATAAGCTACGGGTGCTTGTGGTCGAGACGCAGATCTTGGTGCTCCTATCTGAAACTAATCTCTTTTGATTGTGTCATTTTTTATTTACAAAATGGAAGGAAATGAAAAATTATCATTAAATGCACCATTCATAGTAACAAAAATCTCACATTTTTTCCTTTTCAGAGAAGTAGTTAGAGGATAATGTCTACACAACAATGAAAGTGTAAATTAATGAAAGTGTTTCTCTTTTTTATAAAGGGTTTTTCACATTCCCTTCTTGAAATTTGATTATTATTTTCCTTTATAAATTAAATTATTAGTCTTTCGGTAGTTTTGAAAATATATATAAGTCAGTATGATATAACATATCAATGAACCTGTTGTTGTCGTTGTTGTATTTGAGGTAGTGAAAGTTGTCTTTCGCGTGCAGCAGCTTGTTGATTTGATGAATAGAATGAAGAAAATTGTTGCTGTTGTTGTTGTTGGATTTGTGGCTGTGGTTGTTGTATTTGTAAATATGATATTTGTGGTTGTGGTTGTGGTTGTGCTTGTGATTGTATTTGTTGGTTATATAATTGTGGTTGTCTAAGGACTGGGTAGATCGGAACAGCTTGTTGCTGCTCAACTGCATATCGTATTGCTGGTTGCTGTTGTAAATAAGATTGAGCTTGTGAGCCGACCACTGCAAGCGTGTGTTCTGGAGTGGCAACCTGAGTCTGGGGTGATTGCTGTGATGGTGGTGGTGGTATTTGAGCAGCAGGTTGATTAGGTAATAATCTAGCTCCAGCACTTTGATATAAGGAAGGTGAAAATGTTACCTTAAAAAATATTAGAGTTTTCTGCTCAGTATTAGTTTATTCATTTTTAATTAAGAGCTTATGCACTTAGTCTATTGCAATGCTCTGAAAAAATAAGAAATTCAATTTGTTAAACACTGGAATTTTTTTAATTGAGACTATAACATTTTTGTTATGTCATTTTTTCTGGATTACTTTTGAATTAAACGGAACTTTTCCGCTTATTTTTTCAATAGAAGTAAATGATTACCGTGGGAAATGTGAAAGCTGGAAATGTTGGAAGAGTAAATGTTAAGAAAGGAGGTAATGTTGGAAATGGATTATTTATTGCCAATGCATTTTGCTGTTCTTGTACTGATGATGATTGAGCTTGTGGTACAGCATGAATTTGCGATGCAGATGGAGGATACTGTGTGTGTTGCTGAGATGACTGCGGCAGATATCGATAATGGTATGAGTCAGGTAATACCTGTGTAGATCTTGGATACATCTGTAGTTTGGCTTTAAGAATTGAGTCGTTATTGGTTTTATGAATGTCACCATCTGCGTAATATTTTATTCAATGCAATTTTCTTGGTATTATTTCATTTTCGTTAATAATTTGTCTACTTATTTACTAGCTAAACTCTTTCTCTTAGTGCTTTAATTTTGTTATCTTTATAAATTAATCCGATTCTTAATTTTATTGTAATCGAATATAAAATATAAAAAACTTCGGTCTGTATAAAACTCACCGAATTATACTGCACAACAATTGGATTCTGTTGTTGCTGTCGAGGTATAAAATTTTGAGTGTTTACAGCTCTAGCTTGAGCTTTTTCTAATTGCTTCAAATGGTTGTACGAGTTGTTCAGAAATGGTTGATGAAATGTTACCTAAGATATCATTCACTAAATCTGCACATTTATCAGTAAAAACTTTTCTGCTTAATACAAGAAACAGATTATTTTCTTTAATTAGTTACATTTAACTTTATTCAACAGCAGTTTCAAGATTTTTCCGTGCTATCTTTCATCGTTATTGCCACAATTGCGTCAGACAGAAACTGAATAAATACTGCTCATACGTCTTCTTTATTTATTCGTCGTAATTATTTATGATATTTATTATCTTACTGTTTGACTGATTAATTATACATTAGTTTAGAAATCTTTAATGTTATTGAAGAAAAAAGCAAATACGGAAAAATTATTTGTTCTATTGTTTTATTTTGATATTTAAATAAACATACAGTCTGTAGTGAAATTTGGTTTTGTGATTGTCGGGGTTCTTCTGTTCGTTGTTTTACGTTTTTTTTAAGTAAGTGTTCTCTACCCTGGGAACCCTTAAATAAAAATAAGGAAAGGTAATAGATGAGTGAGAAGTCAGAAAAGTTATTTCAAACTGATAAATTGTATGGTAATCAGAAGTGATCATAACATTTTTTAGAAGTACTGAAGTTTTAATAAAAATGAGAATGAATATTAGCTTAGGCAAGAATTAAATATCAAAAATAACATACCGTTAGAAGATTTTTATCTTTTGGACATGGTGCACATGTATCGGGACACATCTTAGCAATGAAAGTTACTCGACAATGATGGCAACGTGCTCGTTCACAACTTGGTAAATCTGCATCAATTTCGCCATAATACGTGAAAATTATCGATAACAAAAGTACTACTTTGACAATCATTTCGCTCATCTGTATCTGAAATCATGCCTTTTGTATTCATTCCTTAGTACTTAACAACAAGGCATGAATTAATGATTGTCATTTGAAGCATTGAAAGAATGTTTGATTATTCCACGCACTTAATTGTTGTCTAAACCTTAGTGTCACGTTCATTTTTTTCCCCCTTAATTATTTATCCGAAATCTATTTGAATAAATCTTTGATTCAAGAAAAACGCTAACTTATTTTTTGAACTGTTTTGTCACATGGAAAGTTTTCATTTACATCCACTAATCATATAACTTATGTAAGATCTGCAATTTGTTCATATGCTTTCCTCCAGAATGATATTACTAAGATATGGAAGCTCAATTCGTGCCGAAATCAGAAGAATAGTAAAGAGTATTGTCCCGCTTCTAATGTTTTTCCACTTCTAAAGTGAGCATTAATGTAATGGCTTTATGCAAATTAATCAAAAAAAGATGGTACTATTGTTAATGTTAATGAAGTGATGACAATATATTCACTTATTAGTAAACAGAAATGACTAAAAATGAAAAGTATGCATCATTATAAATCGTTGGATAAAATAAAGTACACATTGGTGGTAATTTTCAAGGAGCGATAAAAGCGTATTTCCAGTTTTGCTCTATGTTGAATGAAGAAAGTATTCTCTGTTTGATAGATAAAAATGGTAGTGACCAATGAAAAATTGCTCACAATTTATGTCATGAATTAGCAAAGAAAAAGATAATCTAATATATTTAGTATTATTTCATTTTCATTATTGAAACAATATTGTGAAGCGAGATATAATTCCAAGATTGGAAGTATCTACTCCAGTCATTTTTGTTTCATTGCAGATGTTTATGAATGAAAAATGTGGTGCAAAGGTATAGTAACTATGAATGAATATATTATATCTATCTTATTTATATAACAGAATTGTTATGTATATTGAAAAAAATGTTTTTATAAAAGGTGTTGACCAGTAAGCGTTTTCTTGTTCATAAGAAGGATAAGTTTTTTAAATTATAGTTTTTACTCGTTTTTACTCAAAGACTGTGACTTACTTACTTACTTACTTGCTTGCAAAAATTTTTTAGTGGGAAGTAGTACTATAATAGTGCTAGCAATAAAGCAGAGAAACAAGAAAAAATTTTTTACAAGACAGTAATTGCACAAATTTTCAGCTTTGTCTGATGCAACATTGAATAATTGGAAAAGTTTTAGCGAGAATTGCATTTGTCCATGAAAATTGTGACAAACAATAAAAGCATAAGTATTTTTTTGAGCAACACAAAAAGATTTTTAAAAGTGAATATCAGAGGAAATAATAGAAAAAGATGAAGTAAGGGGCAGTGGTGGACGAAATGATAAAAATTGAAAGTTTTAAAAGGTGGAAATGAAAGGGAAATTTGAAGGGATGAAGGAAAGGAGTGAAGTAGGGAGGCAGGCAATCCGTTTCTTTTGGGTCAGTTGCATGTGGAAGCGTTGAAAAGTAGAATTGTCATGTGGTTTGTTTGGTAGTATCATTCTTACAAGTTAAGGAAGGCAGGAAGTTTGATTGAAAAGATCAGAAAAAAAAAAGGGTCAAGAAAAAATGACAGGCAGATTAAAATGACTGAAAAAGAAGACTCAGTTTATGCATTATCCATCGTTTTTTGTAGATAATGGATAGTAGTTAGTTTCGTGAACTAAATAGTAGAAAAACACATAAATAAGTTGTTGTATTCTATTGTAATTTTTACTTCTTTTCATCGCTTTATATCAAAATCAGACAGTAGTTACGCTTATAGCAGTGATTGCTGAAATTTTACGTTGAATCGAGTTTATCTCATCACTGCTTCTTTCCTATCTGATCCTTATGTAGTCTGCAACTACTACTAGTTTGTGATCACAACTATTAAAACTAATATAAATAATACTTGTTTGTTCAATTTATATTAAACACGTAAATTGCTAATAATGGATGTGTGTGTAGAATCTATCATTAATTCAATTCTTTTTACCATTTTTAGATTTAGAACTTAATCAATTAAACAAATATACGCAAATACGATTGGAAATGATAATAAAGTATAAGAAATTTAATTATTACAAGTGTAATAAATATTCTAAACTTCACAGATCAGATTGTGGATGAATAAAAATTTAAACAAGTTATGAATATTTTATGTGTAGCACTGTTTGTTGTATTTTGAAAAAAAATGGCTAAAATGAAAAGGAATGAATTGAAACTTTAGAAGATAAGTAAGCACGTAAAAGAAATAAATGCTTCAAAAATGAACTTGCTGCAGAAGGTGACGCGACTTGACTGATATTAAATGTGAGAGCTGAGTTATAAATGATGACTTCAGGATTAAGAATTTATGCGGAAAATGTGCGGAAAGGATTGCCGAAATGATATTTGGGGTAAATATTTGTATGAAATTGGCTGTGGAGTGAGACATGCTCCGATGACATCTTCGTTTAGTTCTGTTAAAGTTACTATCATCCCATCTTATCCGTCCTTACAGCAACTATTTATTCTCTATTTTCCTTTTTCACATCTGAAAGCAGTTTTAGTCCTTCATAAGAGATCAAATCATTAAGTGGATAAATGAGTGATTACTTTTTTTTTTTCTCTTTCTTCTTTTGGGCTCTTAAATTTAGGTTTCAATTCTAGATTCCAGTACTACATGCATGGATTAGCAGATTATGTAGACAAGAGAAGAGAGGAAGAAGAAAAATGTGTGTGACACAATTTATGCTTTATTCATACTAGATTTCTAATTTCTACAGGTCAATCCTTCTGGATCAAAATTTTTCACTATTATTCATTTAAACATCATACGTTAGGCTGAGTGTTATTAATAAATCAAACTTTCCCACATGTAAACTAACGAAGGATTAACGTATAGAAATTATAAATGTAGTATAAATAAAGCATAAATGACTTTAAGTACTACTTACATAAAATGTATTATTAATAATATTATTTAACTTTTATTACAGTACAGTAATATCATTATATAGCTAGCTAAATTGTTATGCATACTATTTCAATCAATTATTATTTCTTTTAAATTCAACAAATTAATTCATTGTTAAGATGGAAAAATTCTGTTACAAATATAGAAAAGTGAAGAATTATGTCATTAAACAATATAACATTGTTGTGTGCATTTCTTTATCGCAAACAACTCTTTATTTCTTTACACAATCATCATGACATGACATGACATGTCATGTACTGATACCATCAGCTACTACTGACCTTTGACGCTTTTAAAATGAATTGCTGCCTTTGTGACCGCTATTAGTTAACGGATAATATTGATGCATTAAAATAGGAAGAATCTTCAAAAAACTTTTGTTAAACCTGTTTTGCTCATTTTGTAGCATCCATGCAAAGAAGATGGATATTAAAAGAATTATGAAATATTTAGGTTAATTTTAAATTTAATGTATTACTTTATCGCATGTTTAGAAATTCTATAATCGCTTTCCTTATTCATTTATTTTTCACTTTCTTATCCTTACTTTTCTCATTTATATATCAAAATAAATCTTTTCATTCAGAAATTCTGGAAAGTATCGCTAGAAAGAAGATATATGTGAGGAATGATTCCATTTTTTCATTTATATCCAAAGCAAAATTACTCACAAGTTCATTGCAATTAGCAAAACATTAGAATAAGTAAATCTGTACTACTGAGTTTATTTGTGTAATTGTCAGAAATACATGTATCAACGTGATATATTCAAATATCTGCTATGTTTCTTTCAGACTTACTCTATAATTATATAACACTATATATATGAAAAATAAACATAATAAAAATTCCGCTTCAAATTTTATGCATTAATTTAGAGCAAAATGTTAATTTTTTGTTTTGTACAAAAATTACTCAAAAATAGGGCAAGAAGTAGCTTATAGACATGTAGAAAAAAAGTTTGTATTGTGGTATCGCAGTTTATATCGCCCATAACTGGTATATAGCTGTATTTTTTTTAAACCTTATATTTTATATAGGGCATAAAAATATCTTGAGGGCATTATATAATGGAAAGAATTTTGATAATGTTTACTTAATTTTGCGCATTTCCATGAAAAAAAGAAGCAACATTTCAGGTTCTTAGACTTAGTGAAGGATACAACAAATGTGGAATATGTCAAACTTATTGTTGCCTGTCTGGACTATAGTACGAATGATTGTTCCAGCCGTGTGATTCTTCAAACAGCTCTTACAAGTGCCTGTGAAGTATCTTTCAAATTGAAAGAAAAAAAAGATCATTTTTAGTGTTATTGGTTTCAAGATATGAGAAAAAGTAAGAGAAGAGCGTTGTAGTTGTTGCTGACTTAGCATTCATTTTGTAGATGAATTAAGAAGGCGCTTGTTATAGCGATTCAATAACATGAGAATGAAGTATGATGATTATTTGTAATGTTTTCGTTTTCCAATGTAATTGATATTTAATGGTTTCTTTCTATAACATCAATTCAAATTAAAAAAGTAGTCTTGTTGGAAAGTGTCGACAATGTAAAATAATTTTATACGTGTATGTTGATATCTTAGCAGGCAATGATTTTGCCTACTTGTAACACTTTTAAAATAATGATTTTTACATATGTATTGAACATTAATAGCTGTTTAAGAGTCATTCTGTAACTATTTTCTTGTATTTTTTGTCATGATGAAACGTATTTTGTTTAGGCAGGCAGAAAATGGTCAACTCGATTTCTGAGCATTTTGGCATCACATAATCTGGATAATTTTGGTGAATGGGGCATGGAATTGTTGTTTGCACAGCTTGCAGACCCTTCAGCAAAAGTTGTTCGACATGCTCTTCGTTTATTACATCGCTGGATACCAGTTGAGCAGTTTTATACTTCAAAAAAAAAGACATACTCTCGAAATAACATTCATTAACAAAACTTCTTTAACTTATCTCTTTTCTTTTTATATATGTATTATTTATTTATAACTTTTAAGAAAATATTCAGTACATATTTTCTTAACAAAACAACCTGAATTTACTACTACAAAGTCTTTAATAATAGTTTTAAAGATTGCGTCAAAGTTTTGCTTGAATTTCAATTTATATGCACTTTTTGTGATCATTATTTATTTAACATTGATTGCTAATTTATCATGATAAATTTTGGAGGCATGACATTTGATTTCTAGCATTATCCCGATAGTGTTCATATGATCGAGGAATTAGATATAGATGCATTTGGTGATGCTGGAATTTTGCTGCAAGCACATCTTTTTAGTGACGAAAATTGTGTGAAAAACAGTTATGGCAATACCTTGACAGTATTAGATTACTGGAAAAAGGTAATAAGATAAGAATTTTTTCAGCATCAGTCATTTGATAAAAATGTTAACATGAGTTTATAATGATGAACTCATTAGTATTTTAACATGGTCAAAGTGCATATAGCAAAGTAACCAGAAAATTGCGGAAAAAAACAATAATAGAAAAATTATATATATATATAGTTGATAATTTAGTTTATTGAGTGCAAAGGTTAAATTAAGCAGCATTTTGTGTGAACAACCCTTGATTTACTTACTCGAGCACTATCAATCAGCACATATTCTCACCATTTTGGTGATTTGGTATTAAACACAGCACAAAGACTTATCATTCACCAGACAAACTTACAATGACTGAATAATAGCGTATTGACTTTAATGATTATTCTCTATTACAGATTTTAAGTTTCACTGTTAATTATTTGCAGAAATTCAACATACGTTATGCCGAGATTATTGATGAAAACGTTAAAGTCGCTTTATTAGACAGTAAGCGTTCTATTGACGGACGATATGCAAGACCATCAAATGAACGGTTTGTGCAGTAAGAAGTCTTTATTTTGCATGACACGGAATGGACATTTGATAGCGTTACATTTAGACAAAATTTTCGTCTTTTATTCTGCAGATGTTTCATCAGTTTAACTGCTATATTTGTATTAAATAATATCTAACGTTAATTTTACTACTTTACTGCAAATGAAACCCAAAAAAAACTTTTTTTTTTGGGTTTCAGAATTTTTCTGCTTAATTTGTGACATAAATTAAATCATTCTAATTTACATAATTGTTTAATATGTTTTATTCATCCGAGTATTTATCTATAAAAGACCATAGTTATCAATTGCACTTAGTTTGAAATATTAGGTAATTTGGCATGGTTGTGGTTTTGAACAAAGCTTTTTCACTTTCTGTGCACAATCCATTTTTAGAATTTGTCATTTTATTAATTTTTAATTTTCATTGTTTGTTAAGTATTGAAGTAAAATAGTGGTTTTCAAGTTGATGTTTCATTTCCTACAAAGCAATAGAACTTTTAATGTTCAGATCTGCTAAATTTGGTGTACCAATACCGGTTCATTTATATGGACAGTTAGCGCGTCACAATACTGGACGTGAATTATTACTAAGTTGGAAAGAAGTTGAACGATTGCTCAATATTTTGCGAAATTCACCTTTATCAGAAAATATTTACCGAAAATATGAATTAAAAAGTTCACTGTATGCATTAGGACATATTGTTGCTGCAATGAATTTAAGTAAGTATTAAAAAGATGATTGGCTTATAAATTCCTTATCCGTTAAATAATGTCACAAATGGTGATTTGCAGGAATAAGATGAAATAAATTTGTCATAATTTTGTTGTATATTTTTTAGATCTTTTACCAAAAGAAACATTACCGATCATTTGTCGTTTTGCTGAATCTTGTCCTATTCTTAGTATTCGTGGTGCAGCTTTTTGGGTGCTTAATCTTATTGGCAATACCAAACATGGTTAGTTAAGTCTGATATTTATGGCATAAAATAATGTTGTGGTAGTTTTGCTTGAAACGAATTTGTAAATGTTGGAATTTTCTTTTTTTTTTCTCTCTAGATGGTAGTTAGCAACATGACATTAAGTAAATTTTGAAGCTTTTTTTGAAGAAAATTGAAACAGCATTAGCTCAGAAATTGACCATTGACTGCCATTCTTTTGTTTTCAGTGAGAATACATGTTACTTACAATGTTATTCTTGTTAAAGTCTCAGCAGTATAGAATTTTACAGAGTTAATTTCTTTCATGATCACACTGATAAATTTACCAGTATAAATTGATTTACTTTTTTGAAATGATATAATGGACAAGGATTAATTGTAATTAGTAATTATCATTACATTCTAGGCTCTGAAGCACTTTCTCGGTTGGGTTGGGAAAATAGCAGTTTTCTTATTTCTGAGAAAAGCTCTGAATCTTTACCACTGTTCAAAGGCAATGAAAATGTAGATAAAAGTTGGATCCGATGCATTGACGAGATTAGCACCTTTCAACACAAAGTGAAGTTTATAATTAATATTTACTTTTCTTCTTGAAATTTCTGTTTTCATTCATTGATTCAGTGTGCATTTTGGTTCAGAGGTTGGCTTACACTATGTTTTTGGATATTTATCAGCTCTAAGCGGTGTTAAGAAGAAGAAAACTTTATGGAATTATTGTTATATAATAATAATAAAAGTTTCTTTTATCATTTTATTGTATTTTCATAATGCTAAAGTCTTATTCGAATAATTCATTTTTTACAGAATTCATATGATTTTGACAACAAAATTGCAACGATGATTATGAGGGAACAGCGTGCTGGTTCTACTGTCAAAAATAATCTTGATGAAGAAGATTTGACATCAAGAAATAAGCGTGCTTTTGCAATGGATTCAACAACAACGAGTGATTTAAACTCTGGAGATGAACTTGGTAGAAAAATTATTTATCGACCAAGATTAAAACAGAAAGCAAATGCATTTTGAAATTTTGCTAAAATAAGTTATTGCAATTCATAAAATGCATTAGAGAAGAATATTTTATAGGCAATAATATAATTTATTATTGCAAAACATTTTGTTTCTAAATGTTGAAGTGACACGTCATAGAAATAGTTTGAAGTTTTACATTGGCTATCCTATCATAAGTTAAATTTTTCCAAAAGAATAGTTGCTGAATTTTATTTCTTTTAAACTTAATTCAAATAAATAATTGCCAAGAATGTATGTAACTTGAATTAGTGGAGTATTTCAGACTGTGAACTTTTTTGCCCTGATGAATTGAATTCGTCTGCAGAAGTCATTTCAGAGTACAGAGTATTTGATTCTGACAATCTTGTACTAGCTGATGAAAATACCATAGAAACAGTAAGCATAGTACTGATTGTTGATTTAATTTCTTTTTTCTATTAGTTACAATTTTATTACAATAACTTTTGCAGTCTCTGCAAAGTACTCCATCAAAAATGTGAACTTTCAAATTATAATTAGAAACAGTGGAAGAAATGTTTTTATATTGTATATTATGCTAGGCAGAGGAGGATTTTCAAAACTGTCTCATGATTCGTCGTCAGTTTCGGTTGCGTCCATTTTCTCTTGATCGTATGATCACTGCAGTGGGTTCTTTCGGTTCAGTAGTGAACTACTTTTATATGTCTGAATGTGAGGTAATTTATTTGCATATTTTTTTCTTCAATTTTTATCTCACAGAAATATTTTTTGTGTCTCCTTTTTGAAAAAACGAAATAAAGATGCGTCCATTTTTGGTTTTTATTATAGGACTTTTATCAAGAATTTTAAACAAAGTTAACAATGAGTTTTTCATATGACAGTACTTTGTAATATATATCTGTTTAACAGGTATTATATGGTCGTTTCATAGATGATTACATTACTACTTTTACCCATTTTATTGCTTTCTGAATACAAATATTAAGAAGTAATTCCTGACTCATATCAGTTTAGTTTTCGTCTTATTGTGGTTTTCGTGATCTAACGAAAGGTAGTTGTGCAATTTTACCTCATAATTTGAATACATCGACTACAAAAGTAGAACCTGTTAGTTTATTCGCGCAGTCCATAACACTTCCTCGCAATCCTGATCTTCTCTGCAGAGTTGGTTCATTTTATATCTGTTTGAGTTAATTTGAAAGCCATAATTTTTTCAGCTTTTTCATCTCCATATTAAACTATATTCCATTATAATATCATAAAACATACGATATTGCACTAATTAAACTTTTCAGTTTTTTACTTCAAGTCATCATTCTAAATGTGTTATTGGTTTTTAATCACTGCATTCGAAAAATGCATATATCCAGTTTCCGGTCAATTCTAAATCAACTAAAGAAAATTTGTTCTAGTATGAAAATATGCACATTCATAAAATTTTAAATAAAAATTATAGGATATATTTGTTGAGCAGAAAGCCTCTCAATTTTCATCCGTAAATGATGAACAAAAGCATCAAATGATAAACTGTTTGAACTGCTCTTGGCCTGAGGAGTATTTTGGAAGCAAAAGTTCGTTTATATTTCGTTAATTATGTAGAGATATGTTAGATTTGAAATTTAGTTTCTTTACTTGCAACAAAATTTGTTGATTTTAATAATTTTTAATCGTTTAAAAATTTTTTTTTGGTATACTATTTTTGTACTCGTTAAAATAAACCAAATTGTAAGTAGTTGTGCTAGGATAAATTTTTGATTTTCATTCATAAATTAAATTGAAATTGGAATTGGTAAGAAAACTATTGAAGAATTATCAAGTACATTGAACGAGTAAACTATAATTGCTTATTCACGTAAGTGGTAATTATTGTGATCCGTGAAAGAGATTTAGTAGATTTACATATTTAGGACTCTGAAAAAATTTCTTCAAAAAAGTTTGTTGATGGAATAAGAGTAGTGCAGAAAATAGCATGAAAAATAGTGTACATACATTTTAAGTATTTCCAATGCCATGAAGTACAACTAAATGTAGAAAAATAACATAAGCAAGCTGTTAACGTATTAAAAAGTGTACTCTTTGATATGAATTATAATTTATTGTTGAAATCATGTTCAGTTTTTAAGAATTTTGCAAATGTTCTGCTAATTTATTCTTGCAATTTTTATTCATTATCATATAATACTCTCATTCAATTTTTCAAGAATATCTTACAAGGTATTATCATCTAAAAAAGAATTCTTATAGTAAATAAATTTTACTTATGAGAAAGTTGAGAGCGTTTTTTCTGATTTCTTCACTAACATTTATGATTAAAAATGGTTTGTTCCTTTCTAAGCGAGCCAAAGTAAAACTGCAGTTTCTATCATTTTATTTTTATTATTAATTTTTGTATTTCAAAAAATTCGTTAGAGAATTTGTCTCGAAATTCTATACATATTATAAGAAGAATAAATAAATATATGATTGCCATAAAGTGCTTTAAAATAATGTATGCAAATCTGCGTTTACTGTCTAATTTTATTCATGTAAATAAGCTAAATAAAATTTTGTAATTAAAATGAAGTATATAATTGGAGTTATTCAACTATTGTACAGTACTGCTATAGGTTTTGTGGAAACTGAAATATCGAATAAGTTGAAGAATGACTTACTATTGCTTTTTGCGCAGCAAGGATCAAAATATTGCGTGAATACAAAAAAATTGCTAGAGTGAGTTAATTATTATTTCAGTCATCCGCCTTGATACGGTTTGCTATTATTTTTGACAGATTTTATTATTAGTCATTGAAATTGATATTTTTTTAAAATAGATTCTGCTTAAAATTAATCAATTTTTTTTTTTTGAAAATGAAATCTAGCTTTGAAAAGTATGACTTTATTCAGGTTTTTCCACTCTTGAATTTATAGGATGGCAGTTGAAAATTGTCTGTTTGATCAAGTTTAAAATCTTTCTCATTTCATTCATCATTTTGTTAATATAATACAATGCTTGATTGATGTTTTCAGTGTTTATGTATCTAACCGCGAAATTTTTGCTTCATTATGTCTATATTCGGATATTATGGCTTTAATGAGAAATTATAACTACAATATGGAAACAAGATGCCTTATACAGTCATTATTTGCAGATGCTTTACATAAAGTGAATTAATTTCTTTATTTCTACTCAGTTTGTTGCATAACTTGTTTTTTTTGTGTATCTTTTATACTTTTCATCTTAATAATCATTAAATTTCACCTCTCTTGAACTCGATATATCTTTGTTAAGCTGATACTTTCAACATATAAGCATGATTTTTGCACTGCTCACAATTGGCCTTTTTCTATACTTCCGCAACAATTAATTATTGTTCAATATCAAGAAGCTTCGAGTAATTTTATGATTGCAATCTAGACGAATTCATAAATTTGGCTAATTGGGTAGTATGCTTCTTCGTGTATTTGAATTAAAACGGATTAAAAGTTGTTGTTTTTTCCTCATTTTCTTTTTTTTGATAAACATATTCTTCACTATTGTTGCAATCAAATATTTTCAATTGAATCTATTTTCGAAACTGTATAATAACGTGTTAATAGTGTTTATGCTGAGAAAATTGCGGTTATGGTATGAAAGTTTGCAGTTAACGAGGAGAAAGCAATAAACGTAAAAATAAGGTAATATATAATCTGTAAAATAGACATGCTTTGTTGCTCATCTTTCAAATACGTTACTTCAAGCAGTGTTATCGTAAAGGGTAACAGATGCATCAAGATTTTCATGTTAAATTCAGCTTCGAAGTAGGGTAGAAGAAGTATACATTGCACCTTCACAATGAAATTCTCTTTTTATTTGATTAAAAAGCTGAAAACATCAACAAAAATGGAATAATTTACTGAGAAATGTATTGATAATGAAAGTAATTTGATCAATTCTTTTTGAAATCATCTATTACAAATGAGTAACTTGAAATGAGATAATTGATAGCACTAAAACGCTACAAACTTGTAAGATCTAAACGACAACTTGTTTCATATGATAGTAGTGAAATGAGATTTTGCATCTAAGTAAAGTAGAACAAAAAATCAAGCATTGTAATACATGATCACAAAACAATGTTTTAAATTACATTATCTATGTAAAATCGTGATAAGTAACGATTAAAGCTGTGATGTATTAAAAATAAAGGTCTGAATATGTAAGAACTATCGTGAAATTAAGCTTGCAGAAAAAAAATTGAAAATTTGCCATAATGTTTTGAAAGATATGATATCTCAAGATTTCTTTCGTACCTTTTTCATGTTATACTTGTGGGAAGTAACTTTAGATGTTCATAAAACATTTTGTAGGTAGTTAATTGTGAGATCAACTTAGTCAAACTGTAAGATCAACTTAGTCAAACTATAAGATCAACTTAGTCAAACTATAAGATCAACTTAGTCAAGCAGTGGTGAGACATGCAAACTAACCGATATATAAAGCATGCAAAAATGATATGAAAAGTGCTGAGCAATTTATGACTAATGTAAGATAGGAAAATGGGCATTTAGCCGTATTATCAGCTGTAAAATAGCTCAGCACATGTTTTGACCTGACAACGTCGTTGTAGTACGGGTCAATCTTAGAAATTATTGCATCGAAGTTTATAATATCCCCAAATAATGGTGCTGTAAAGTTTACATCAATTAAGGGTACAGCAAACAAATATCAATTTGTATTTCGAATATAGTACTTTGCAATTATACTATCAATCTGCTCTATTTTACTTAAGTGAGTGATTATTGGTGCACAACTAAGTTCATCTCATTAGGTAATGAGATGAAATCAACTGATAAAATATTAAATGTGATAATTTGATTATGTAAATTTTTGAATGAAACTACAAACCGTTATAAGTAGAAAATGGCGCCCTTGCATGAATATCATTGCATTTATCCTTTCGATTGCAAATACATGTTGTTTGATTTATGGAATCTTCACAGAGAAGAGTTGCACCAACACGTGTCGCAAGTAATTCGCTATGTTGGCGTGAGAATGCTAAATCGGTAATTTGCCATTCAGTGAGCGTCAAACAACCAGCCATATATTGATATACAGGGCAATTTTTGCATTGACCTGAAATCATTAACAAATTTTATCAGCGCTTAAAATTATTTTCTAAATTCTTTATATACTTTTTTTTTTAATTGTTATTCCACTTATGTTAATACCTTTTAATCATAGAAAATTATTCATAATTCTTTTACAGAATTACTCCGAGTTATAACTACATTTTGCTATTTATACCTTAATGAAAATTTGTTGTTAATATAATATTTTTGTTCGAGACATTATGATCGACTATAAAATCATATATCTTTCTAATAATGAATATTCATTAATCAGAATACTTTATCCTTCACTCCATTATAATTATCAGATTTTGCGCAAGCAAGCTTTGCTAATTAAATCAAAAAAATATCATTGCTGTTCATTATATGACTTTCTTAAAATCCATGTCAAATAATTTGAGTGGATTGAAATATACAGATCTTATACTACTTAATCTGCAACATTAATATTTAAGGTGCAATTTTTTTGGCATCACTATAAAATGAAATATTGACTTGGTACAAAATAAAATTTGCATACTCTTTAGATGAATGATAGCTTGAAAAAATTTTTTTTAAATTTTCGTAGTGTCTAGTCTAATTCTTTGGTGCAAATCAGAATATATCTTTTTCCGTTAAATTTTTCTTGTTAAAATAGAAAAAATATTTTTAAGAAGTCTTTTGATGCTTTCAAATTTTTCTATTTTTTCTTACTTGACAATTTGAGTAATTACTTTTTCCTCTTTCAGTAGCAATATTTTTCAGGCAAATTTTGAAGTAAAAATATATTTGACTTCATCAAATTTGATTGATGTGAAAGATTTTAATGAAATTTTCACGTACGCATGAAACAGACGTTCCCTGTGCAAGTACGTGACTGTAGTGCACATGTAGAGCGTGCATCTTTAGCAATAATACGCCAAAGTTGAATACACTGTCGACAAGTTATACTTGGAAGTTGACGATCCAATTCAAAGTTATCGGTGTATCCCATAGATACCAATGAAGACGATGATGTTGAAAATGTTTTTGAAATTAGGACTATACTGAGAAATATCGGTAAAAAAAATGTCAGCATCAACACAATTGTATGAAATACTAGTGCCTTGACATTTTTTTCGCATTCTGTAATATATTTCTATTTACTTACCTTTTTTTCCAAAATCAGTTTTATAAATAATTAATAATTTATTCAAGTATTAAAATAAGTTATCAATTATTTATTAAAATAATTACGAATTTAGATTCTCTCATTTTATCTATGCAGCAGCAGCAGTAGCAGCAGCAATTTTGTCCAATAATTATTTGTGATTCCAGTAGTCATTTTATTATCAGTTAATTAGTCAATCAGAAGACCAATGTAGACAAAGAAGAAACTGAAAATGAACAATTTAATATTATGTTTGATTTTTTATGCGCAAAAATTTTTGTTACTTTCTTGTGATAGTTTTATTTGCAAGATAAAAATATTATATTTTCACTGAAAGTTTCGTTTTATTTAATATAGCTGAATTCAATTATAGCTTTAAAATTCGTTTAATTATTTGGTATGAGTAATTTTACTGAGAAGAAATTGTATTACTCAAAGAAACATTTCTTATTTTGGTGCTAATTACAATGTTACAGAAAATTATTTGCTACAAATAAAAAAATAGACTGTAATTCAAAAAACTGTCATAGAGAAGCAACTAAGCTGATATCAAGCTACTAATATTATTTAATTTTTTCATTTTTTTATACCAAATCGTTTATCGTTTATCAAGCTTTATTAAGTTTCTTATTATTAGTAATAAAGTTATTTGTGTGAAAACTTAATTTAATGGTAGCAAATATGCGATTTGGTTTTGTCATCTATACTTTTCTTACTTATGATCATTTCAATGAAGTTAGAATGGGTTCTCAATATGTATAAAATACAGTTCGATATGATCTATGCCTTGTTTTTTTTGTTGAAAAAAAAGAACTAACAAGCTGTACTGCCCATAAACTAACAATTGAAGTAAAGCAATGCAAAGTTTAACTGGAAAATAAAACAGAAACTGATCACTTCGAGGATAAAAGCATATCTTACTTAATCTTCATCAAGTAAGCTTTGCTTGAGAATGTCCAAGACCATTACTTATTATTCCATCTAAATCTTGTCTTAGTCATAAATCAAGCTTTTTCTTAATAAGGTAATCAATCATTTTGGAATCGTTTTTAAGCAATCAACACGCAACCAAGCAGAAAACCGATCAAAATATGAATATTATGAATGTGCAAATGGACGAGAGGTGTCCCATAAAAGCAAAGAAAAAAACTTGTTCACTACCATAAATCTGTAACAAATATATCGAAATCAAATACCTGACAATGTTACATTTTATAGAATTAAAAAAACTACTGCTGTGAAAGTTTTATTACAATTGTTAGTTCGGAAATTTTGTTACAACAATACTTTCATTTCAAATTATTAGCTTTTTTTTTAAATAAAATTAATGATCTTAGATGTTGATTGATTTGTTTTAAGCATAATTAATGATTTATTTAGTAAAGCTTTGCAGATGAATTTTATAGCATTACCTTAAGTAGTATAGTACTAAAATGAAACTTTTGTAAGCACAAAAATGAAAAAATTTTAAGAAACTAGTTCGAGTGCAGCATTATTTGTCAAACATTTCCATCTCTCGTAATGAGTATTATTCATTGCTAGTAGTTACGAAGACCTAATAATAATAACTTTGAATGCTATTAAAATGGATTTGATATTAATACTTACTTCTTAGCAAAAAGCAATTCACTCATGAGACAAGAAGAAATTACTGACTAAGTAATAATTCATTCTATAATAAAATATCAAGTATACAAAAGTAGACAAGTCAAATAACACTGATTTACTCTTTATAATCTAATATGTTTGACAATATTTTTAGTCAAAAATTATTCAAGAAAGAAGTAATAATTTGCAATGCTTAAATTTGAGCAGCAATGACTCATTAAAGAGATGTAATAATAATAATGTTAATATTTGAAAATGTGGAAGATGCCAAAGTTCATTTCAATAATTTAAGACAATTTATAATTGAAAAAACTGAAAAGTATGAAAATTTATGCAATAAAAAGGATAAAAAGCATAATAAGTTTTTGTGACTCAAATGCTATGATGGAATGAAATATTTTTCTTTAAAAGTTTAATTTTTTTCTAAACTTTTTATGATAAGATTGACTAAAACGGTACGCCTCTTATATTTGCTAAATTTCTTGCGCTTTTTTCACTTATAAAAATGAAATTCCCATGTGGTGATGAAAAATACTAATTTTGATGCTTCAGTTGTGGTTTGAATAATATTTTTATCTACAACAAGTATGCAAATTTTCTTTCCATTTTTTATTTAAATTCAAAAAATCAATGCAGAAAGTTTTTGAATAAAAAATTTTCTGAAATGGAAAATGGTTTGTAAACTTTTTGCAACTGTACTGCGTGAGATGCCAAAAATCTCTTTATATTACAATTTGATTATTAAATTGTTTACTTTTATTTATTTATTGACTTATGGTATAATTTGTTCAATTTCATGCATTAATTATTAAAATATTCATTTGCCTTCCTTTATTAACTTATTTGTGAGCATGTAAGTTAACGTATTTATGATCTGTAAATGAATTTTCTGCTGAGAAAGTAAAGGAAAAACAGCACCGAAATTCAAGCCGTTTACGATGTAAATAATTCCATTATTCATTTAATCCCCTGCATGTTAAGACTATAATTGCTATTGTCCATTATTAGTCGGAAATTAATTTTAGAAACTATAGCCAACATTGCATATCACTTCAAAATTACTTTCAGATAATCACAGAATGACATGAAAGCCAAAAGTGTAATGCTTGTATGGTCAGAATAAAGTATATCATAGAAAAAAACTAGAAATCATAGAAAAAAAATTTTTTTGCCTTCTGAAAAGTTCAACGTTATTGTTGAAAAGTGGCATTTTTTTGAGAAAATATTTTGCAAATGCAAACTGATTTGCACAAATTAAGAGATTTAAATTCTAGTTTTAAGGTATTCAAAAAATGCATTAGATTTAAAATTGATTAAGTGAGAAGGCGCAATGAATATGTAATAAAAAATAAAATTGAAATTAAATGTGCAGGTTAGTTTTCGTTTTCGCTATATATATATAATATTTGGGACTTGAACAAATAAAAAAAACTTACCAATAATCAAATAATCTTATCAAAAAAAATTTTTCAGTGAATTTATCATCTTTTTGGAATAAAATAGAATAATATGAAAAGAAAATAAATTAAATAAAAAATAAATTGAGGAGTTTAAGAAGCACTAACAACACAAATGAGATATAATTTTTTTATGTTGACTACAGTAATTTTTCAGTTCAACATGATATGCGAAGATCTGTAAAGTAAAAATATGCCAAAAAGTTACTGCACAAATTGAATTGAATGGTATTTAAGAAAACAATTACAGAAATCAATTATATTCAAATTTATGAATTGACAAAACTAACAAACACAAACGAAAATATGTATTAAAAATGTATTTCAATATACATCTAAACAGATAGAAAGAAAAACAGTGTGAAACGAAAATGGACAAAAGCTGAAGTTGTCATTTCAGTACATTGTTGACTTGTGCGCAACAACTGTGATGTGCTTCTTGAAGAGTAATAAAATAAAGTGAACATTTTGAAAACATTTTTGCAAAGATTGAAAAAGATTGTCAAAATAGAAAAGCATAAATATTTGGTAGTGACAATCATTTTGTTTGCTGCTGTCATGAATAAAATATTGAATGTAATATATGAAAGTTACACGCAGTTTCAGATAACTTCATGTAGTTTAGAATTAATGCTAGCAGTATATATTCATCATGTGAAACTGTTACATAAGTATATTGTTAAATAAATTTGAAGCAAAATGATTGAATAATTTTATTCAAGTTGCATTAACAATGCAATGAAAAGAGAAGAAAAATAATTTGATAAAGATAAAAAGTTATGTTTGGTACTTTTTTGAATTATTATTTTTTCAGTAATGAATAGTAATGGATAAAAACAAATAATGAAAAACTAGAATTTTAGAATAGTAATTTGAACAAAAAGAATAAAATGATTGTAAGCAAAAAATGCACAAAAAACAAACATTTGATACATAATTTTGAGTAGTGAAGATTTTGAATTTTGAAAAAATTAAACAAAAAATAAAAAGTAATTTTAAAGTCATTATCTGCGATAACTTAACAGTGAATGCTTGGGGAGAGTTATTATGTGAAGCAACTGAGAAAATATTTGGCAAGTAAGCAAATAAAAAAAAAAACCAAAATAAAATAAAAAGAAAAGAACTGCAAAAACAATGCTCCTGAAACCTAGAAAAAAAGTACGAAATTTCTTTAACTCTTTGGCCAAATCAGTTTAATATTCGAAACGTGAATATGTAGGCAGACACGTTCTAGCTTGCCATAGTTGGCCAAGCAAGACATCATAATTATCAGCATTGCAGCAAGTAGAAGCATAAACAAACATGACGATGACTAATTTCAGCAAAACGAAAAGAATGAGCATAGATTTATGTAGCTGAGAATTGATATGAAAAAATCATGCAAATTAGCTTAAGCTAATAACAACTGCTAACTGTGCTTTCCATGGCTCAATCACTGAATTCTAATGCTTTTGCACTAATATTCAACCAAATAAATCCAAAATTACGAAAATTCGAATAGCAAATTAGTTTTTTGTCGTGAATGAACGATTCATTTTAATGAAATTTCAAATAGAAAATATCACGAAAAAGGAAAAATGCGGAAGTCAGCGTTGTGTTCAAAGGAATGATTTCCATTTTCACAGCATTCACTTCTTATTATCAGAATAAAAATATTTTACTATTTGTATTCAAATTTTATGAGCAGTAAAGGCACCAAGTTCAAACTCAAAATGCTTTCAGCTATTGACTATAGTTTATCAAAATTATAGTTTTCATATTCACTATTATTGTTAGCTACAGTATTAAAAAATTACTGTACAAATGAATATATATATTTATGTAGAAAAAATAAAATTAAGAGCAAAGATATAACCAATGATTTTTTTTAAATTGGAATGCTTCAATCATTAAGTATTTATCTACAAGTATTTATCTATCATTAAGTATTTATCCACTGCGTATGCTAATTTCTATTATTTTTTGTTTCTGTAGAAAGTTGTTTCAGTAGACTTCTCTAAACGTATTAAAATTTGCATTTTCAGCGTTGATATTATTTAATCTTACCAAAATGATAAGAATAAAAGCGAATTGATAAGTTTTGAGAACTGAAAGTAATTCGCTAGTATCTACTTCTATATTACATCTAATTCTTGACTAGGAATATCAACAATATGATTTGTATATCTCACTACTAAAATCAAATTATAACGTCACTGATGCAGTAATTGTAGATTTCATAGAAGCTAAAAAACTACAGTCATAAGTTAAGTTATCTAAAATTTGAGAAATTTTATGGAATTCACTAATAATGAATGTAATTGATAAGAAAGCTGTAAGTGTAGGAATCAATTCAAGCATTTCTGATCTCATGTGCAATTGGGCTTGAACAACAAATGTCCATTCGTTATTTAATATTCGAAAAATATTAGTTAATTCAGAAAACTGAAACTTCAAAAGGCATTTGAATCAAAATGAAAATATTCTGTTAAAATTATTTTGAATGTTTATAAATAGTCAAATTAAAACGAGAGAAATTGGACATCCAATGAATTAGTTTTTGCATTTGAAAAAGAATTAATGATTTGAAGTGAAAAAAAATGAGGTTATCAATTACTGTAGACAATATCGGAAGTAGTGATAATTTGAAATAAATAATTTGTAATCCAATTAATTGCCACCTGTAACCATGTCCATAGAGATTATGTTATAGCCACTCATTCCATGGAAATAATTTAATAGAGCTTTATTTCAGCAGCTATCACACAATTTCATTGAGAGTTTAGAAACTGAGAAAAAAGATATAAATAATTATTTTTTAAACTTGTGCAAAAGTAATAAAAAGTATGAAAAAAAAAACTTATTTATGTTAAAATTGAGATTTTGCAGCTAATTCTGGAAAGCTATGCATGTACATTGCAAGCAATCATTAAGCGCTAATCAAACGATTTTGATGAGAATACATTTGTAGAATAAGACGTCAAATGAATGATTTCAATAAATGAAGTTAATTTTACTATGACTATAACAAGTAATAAATGATTTGAAATTTAAAAAGAAATATTTCTTTTCTTTTTTAAGTGATTTTTCACTAATTTTAAGCATTCAAAATAAACTATTTGTAAGTGAGATGAGTGAGCTAATTAGCTTGAAAGTGCATGATGCATTACTGCAAATACGAGATTTTAACATGGAATCCAAATTCTTCGAAATAAGTCAACTAAGTGGGCATTAAATGGATTATGATGATTAAATAAATCATTCTTTCTCTTTTCAGCAAAGCACTCACTCTACATACTTTAGCAAATATGAAGTTAGTGACGATGCCAAATAAACAAATTCAACTGCTGTCTTGAAATGAAAATGAGTACCTTGATATATATATATATATATGTATAAGTACCTTATATATATATATACTATGGAGAAATAAATTTGAAGATATCAATAAATACCTTTAATTATACTGAAGTATATAAGTATCTTATATATATATACTTTCAGTTCCGAGATACCTTGGTAGTTAACCAAGATATTCTATACAATTGTTATCAGTCAATTAAGATTCACTGAAATGGATAAAAGATAGTATGCATTAATGTTTTATTCATTTATTCACATTTGTTGAATGTTAATTCAGTGTAAAGTACTTCACTGAACTTAACAGAAATTTATTTAGCAATGATAGTTACTATGGAGAAATAAATTTGAAGATATCAATAAATACCTTTAATTTAAATAACTTCAGATAATTAGTATTTAAAAGAAAAAAAAAATAGCAATTCACACATCACTGGTTATCGAAAAAATTTGTGATTTAACAGTGATGTGATTAATTAATAATTAGTTTCTATTCTATATTTAGAAATTTGAAGATGATCAAAAATAGGCCTATTACAGTGAAAATAAATAGTACTAAGCATATTCAAAGTATTTTAAAAATTTTCTTAATTGTTAATATTTGCTCACTGACTGAAAGTAGCTTTTTATCACTGAACTAAAGCAAATTTAAATTACTTGAGTAATTTTCTGCATTCAAAATTGGTAAAATTCAAAATGGAAAACCTTTCAACCACGTTGAATTAATAGATATTCGCGCAGCACATAATGTTTAATTCTTCAATGTACATAATATGCTATTATGATTCCAACATCATTCCTCAACAAATTTAATACAGTGTTATTTTTTGATGCTAAACTACTGATTAACTACCTCAGAACCTTTTCTTCATCAATTTATTGCGTCTGGTACAATCTAATATGAATAGTACTTTGCAGTAATATTTTAATTTTTATCATACATCGATAGTACTTTATAAACAATTTGTAATCAAAATACGTTTTACGTTATTTAGCATCATATTAGAATGTTTAGTTGAGTAAGTCTTCGTGAATCGGATAACACTTACTGATCGTGTTTTTAATCATTAACCCTATGCCAGCGATTTTTAATAGCAAGAATTTGTAGCTAAAGAAGTCATATAAAACATAATAAACAACTTTACAAAAATTATTTGTCATTGTTTCCAATTTACTTAAGATGTAATCATTCGTAATATTAGTTTTTAAACTTTTTACATATGCTCTTTGACATGAAAACAGTTACGTAGTCATTTATTTCCACTTAATTTTTTTGCATATGGAAATTAAATACATGAATACTAATTGGTTTTCGATAAAATATGATACTATATGTACAGTGACAGATTTATTTCAGTCAAACAGTTCAGTTTATTAGACATTTTAGATTATTTAATAGTGATCATTGATTTGATACTCCAATAGCAATTTGAAGAATAATTGACAATCTAAAGAAAAGGACCGCGTTAAACATGTGATCCTTCTCATCACTTTACTCTAGTGATGTTCACGTATTGTATATGACGTTCACTTGGTTCGGTCAGAATTTCACAAAAGACTTAGAAGAACTTGTTCAGTTTAGTCATTATATGATGTGTTGAAAGCCACGCTAAATTCGGTACATAAATTGCACGTTTCATTCACTATCATTTATTGATTATCTACGTTTATTTGTAGAGCGTCTATAAATTTCATGTATTTTCTACTTCTTTTTTTAAATAACTTCAAAAAATAGTAGGAAAAAGTGGTAATGTGAAATAATTTCATAACTTGTAGATATTTCAGATTTTCTCACGAAATTTACATGAAGTAACATGGCGAATACAATAACATTATCTGGAGCAAAGTTAAGTGTATAATTATTTGATTCATCTTGCAGATGTCCAACTTGCTTAATATTACTGAATCGGTTTTTTTAAAAATTTTTTTCGCTTGAAATAGAAATGATAAAAGAGCCAAGTAAGCAATAAAGGCTTTGCATTGCTAGGAGTGAGGATTACATATGGCTCAGTTTTGTTGTTATTGAAATGAAATAATGAAAAGTTTTGTGATGTGTTAATTTAGGCAAAATTTTAGTTTGACCTGTATGAAGACGAAGAACAGCTAGTGAAGTTTCGAGATATCGTTGACTTACTTGTTGCAGCTGGCTATTTCCGTGCTCGTATTAAATCACTTTCTCCATTCGATAAGGTTTGAATCTTGCTGCATATATTACAGTAGTATGGAAATAGAAGTCTTTGTGTAATATAGAAAATTGTTTTGTAATTACTGAAACAAGCATAACTTAATAATTTAAATAAATTTTCAATCGTCAGCAATTGCATTGGTGAAGAAAACTGCAAAATATTTTATTTATTGGTTGCTAAATTTCTTATTCTATTGGTGAAATTAAATTTCTTATTCCATTGGTGAAATTTTATTGAGTTGAGAGATTTTAGCACCTCTTCAACTTTATTTATGGATTTATTTTGTTTTTGTATTACAAAGAATAAAATAACTAGAGTTAGCATTTTCTTTGAAAAAGTTGCAATTTTAGATGGTTGGTGGAATGGTATGGTGTATAACCTCATGCAATCACACTATTGATGTAGACTTATTCTACTCTGAAAGTGCTACTATAGGTCAAAAAATGTAAGTGGTACGTGGTTACTTATCTTTTGGAAGGTCGTTCTATTTTCTCATTGTAATTTAAGGGGAATTTGTTTCTTGGAAAACATTATTCACCAAACTGAAATAATTTTTTTTAAAAAAGTGCTTTTTTTAATCGTTTTTTTTCAGTGCACTGACAGAAAAGGTAGTAGAGGTGTTACCGCAGTTGAAATGTCCGCATACCATTGAGCCTCATCAAATTCAAGGGCTTGATTGTATTCACATTTTTCCTGTTGTACAGGTAGTTTTGATTAGTGGGAAACAATATTATCAGCGAATTTCATATTTTGATAACGTTTTCCATTGAAATAACATTTATTTAATTAAGCTTAAAAGAACAAAGTATTTAGTGGCTTGTGAGGGAAGCCGTGTATGCCAAGGAGCTGTATGGTGATAATGTTCGTAATCATGCTATGTATCACTTTTCTCACCGATTTCGCTTTTCAAAGGTTTTTTGTTCATGCTAATCCGTTTAAAATTTTTTATTTTATTTGAAATATCATTTTAAAGTTTTAATCTTTAAAAGAATTTTCTAGGAAAAAAGCAAGGACAATCAAAAAAGTATTTTTTCTACCAACTGTCGCAAAATAAGAGTGAACTGCATTCCTCAGCGTATTTATAGACGAAAAGATGATATCAAGTCATTAAATTTGCGTGCCGATGTTCGCTATACTTTGTTGGAATATGGCTGGTTTGTTGTGGGATTTTTCAAGTTGTTAACGAAATATAACGTCAAAGTCTTCGATCTTTTGATAACTATTTTCTTTCATTGATATTGATTTTGTGGATTTAGGAAAGTGCCTCATGATGTAACTGTTCAGAAAGACGTTACGGACGAGGAAAGGAAAGAACTAAATGGAAGTTTGGTTAGTATACAAAGATTTATTTTGCTTAGCATAGGTATATTGCACTAATGTTTTTGATAGTTTTGAAAATAATTACTTTATTGATAACTTTTATCTTTTCATTCTCTTATTATTTGAAGGAAGTTTTTTTTAGTAATATCACAAAATATTGCTACGAGTTCCTGTTTGAAGCATGTATGCTTTTGTTTTTCAATATTTAGCGATGGTTTAATGCAGGAGATTGATGAATTTCTTCCGCAGTTATCAGAAATGGACATTTCGTTAGAGCAACAACGTTTTTCAGTAAAAACATTAGCTCGAGTCATTGATGTATCGGAATTTCATACTGAAGAACAAGTAATGTTTGTTTTTCTCTGCATAGATTCTGAGGCACCTCTTCAAACATTTTACTCCGCTGTGTTTGATTTTTTATGTCTCTTTCAAATGAGGACTTTTCGAAGTAATTGTTAGCTCCTTGCATCTTTGATCAAGAATCATCATCTCGTATATTTCAAATTACCACTGCATGTCTTAAATGTTTGTTGTCTTTCAAATTTTGACCTTTATTTTGCATATATCATGTTTACAGGCTGCTACTTCAATGCCAGATCGCGAAATGGAATTTATTAGGGAAATGGAACTTAAAGAAAAAATAAAGAAAGCAAGTTTTCGTCAGTTTATCGAAAGCAAAGGTGTTGAAGTTAGTGCTGTTGTATTTATTTTGGTTTTGTTTTAGCTTAAAGAAAAAGAAGAACGTTTGGATAATTCTCTTAAAATGCTCGAGAAAAATAAGCAAATGCAAGTACTAGAAATTGATGAGATCGATAAAAGAATTGCGGATTATGAGCATTTAATTAACGAAAGTGATGAAGAGTAAGAATCGAATACTGATTTTTGAATTTTCTCATATTTATTTACAATATTCTACATTTTTCTTATACTCTCTGTTTCAGTTATGATTATGATCGCATCAAAACTTATTTGCAGTACATTAAACAAATTGAAGCATCTTCTTATCGAACACGATGAAATTGCTAGACGAGAAGCTGATTTCAAAGCTATTTGCCGAAATAAATTAGGGGAGCTAGACAAGGAAATAGAAATGTTGCAGGCATTTGATCCAGCCGTAGAGGAAGTTTGATTTATTCATAATTTTAGCCAATATTTCATTTCAAATTGAAGACAAATTTCTGTGATAGAAAAGTTAGTGTCTTATTTTTTTCCATAACCTTGGTTATTTGTTTTTATAAGCATTAATATATACACAGAAGTTTTGCAGATTTATTGCATGACTTATTTGGATACAAATGAATAATTTATTCAGTTTGATGTTACGTTTGATGAAAACGAAGCTATCAAATTGAGAGAGCGCATGGCTAATTTACGCATAGAATTAGGTCAATTAAATCAACAGATTGCTGCGGAGCGACGTATTCGTGACAGTATTCCCGCACAAATTGAAACTAGTCAATATCATAGAAGAATTATCGAGCTTTATAACCAAAGTTTGTACTTTAATGAGATTATGAAAAATTGAGAGAATACAAATTCAGGAAAGCGAATAGTGGAAACTCCCGTGTTCTTGTGGCTTTATTTCTTTTGCACTTAACACAGTTCATTCTTAATTTGACTATATATATAGTTTCTAAATTTCAGTTGCTTGTAAACATCGAGAAACGAAGCAGTTTTATATTTTGCATAACACTCTGGTGGATATTAAAACTTTCATGAATAAGGAAATCGACTTGCTGAACAGCATGGATGATGTCTATGACTTGTAATATTTATTATTTTTGTTCACGATATAGGTATTAATATCTGTATTTCAGTTCACATCAATATTCATAGGAAATAACAAGGAGTAAATTTTGTTTTATTTTTAGAACTTCAAGAGAAGATTACAAAGACTCGTTTGTCGATAATCTGCAAAAAATATTGGAAGGTGTTGATGCTTCTTATAACAAGGCTTGTTAATTTTTACGTTGCTTTTTGTTCTACTTTTATCTTGCAATGTATCGAATATCATATAGAAAATATAAGGATCTTATTTGAACCTTAGTCTCTAGTGTCTGTGTTATGTTTTTACCTCGTGTTGTTCAACAGGTTTCTACAAAGTTGGAGCGGCTGCAAACACGGAAAGATAAATTAAATGAAGAGTATCAATACATGTTGGATAGAGAACGACTTTACTATAAGAAGGTGGAGGATTTCAAAAATGTAAGCTTTATGAACCTAATGATTTTCAGTGTTTATCATGAATTGGGCTGCTAAGTTTTTTTAATTCAGACTTTATGAAAAGTCATCTGAAGAAGGTTATTTTTAATAGTTTCCTCTCCTGTGATTATTTATTTATCATGTTAAGATCTTTCTATTAGGATGTATATATTTTGCAGGCTTGTCATGAAAATGAAGAACTGAAGCGTAGAATAGAGGATAAACAGTCAATTCAGTATTAAAATGTAGTTATTTTGGAATGCAGAAAAATTTTTGCGTTAACTCATTTCTCTAAAATATTGTTGATGCTTGAAACCTTTTCCAGTAATAGAAATTCGTAGTTTGAACTGAGTTATATTTGAAGAGTAATTTGGTACCAGTTGTGCATTATTATTCTATCAATAAATTTGGAATGAATATTGCTTGGAGTTGAGCAAATTTTCAAATGATCTTTTGCTTGAGAAAGTTTTACATCTTCATAAGCTTCATCTGTTCTGTTTGACTCTAAAACAGTATTGTTCTCGCTTGTGAATTTCATATTTTTCTGAAACTATCAAAATAGTGCGTTTTGGTATAAACTGATGAGGGAGTCTTGTATGCATAGTGATGATTCATGATTTGCTTTTGGCATGACGGGAAGTCATCCTTTTATCATACGACACTGTGCTCAATTTAATCTTCGGAGTATGTATCAAGGCATGCATCAGTTCAATTTTCGTCATGTAATTTGCAGAATGGAGTTAATGCGGTTTAAGCGTACTCCACTGGAAGCAGAACTAAGGTTTAGCAATAATTTCAAGAATTTCTGTGAGGGCGTTCCTTGTAAATTAGGCATCGATGAAGCTGGACGTGGACCTGTACTTGGTCCGATGGTGTACGCTTGTACTGTAATAATGTTAGACAAAGATGATGTTTTACGGGACATAGGTATGCTCTTGTTTCACGAAGATCGCTTATGAAGAGTTTCGCTATTATTTTTATCTTCCAAGTAGTACATTTATTTGAAGTGATCCGAAAAAAATTCGGTAAACTTTATATTTTTATTTTGCTGATAGTTGGTAAAAAGGTGTACTTAAGAATTTGTTTTTACCTTATAGTAATAAATTTTTTAGTTATGGTCAAGGATAGTTTGACGGAAAAATTTATCATTATATTCTGCGCATAAGTTTTTCCCAAGTCCGTTTTTGAGTTATAGGTGTGAATGATTCCAAACTATTGACTGAAACAAAACGTGAAAAAATTTTCAATGAGATGAATAACAAATCAAAGGTTCATAATTCTTTTGATATGTATTTCCTCGTTTTCTTATCATGTTTGTTTCAGAAACAGTTTTAGTGAATTCTCAGCTTAATTGTTAAAGAAATTCGGACTCAGAACCTTTGTAGTTAATAGTTTAACATTTCTAAAATATAAACTTATACATCGATATTTCAAAAAAACATTTTCGCAATTAATTACATCAAATATTTACTATGAATTTCTTCCTCATTGCATCCACATCTTGAGTCATGAAACATAATGACTTCATATAAGTGATATAATTACTATTAAAGTAAATATGAATACTTAAAGTAAATATAAAATATTTGAGGTAATTGGATATGCATATCGAGTTTTATCAGCTCAAATGATTAGTGCTGCTATGTTGCGGCGCACGAAATACTCATTAAACGAATTATCTCATGACTGTGCTGTTGAATTGATGAAATTAGCTCTTGATAGCGATATAAATGTTGTGGAGGTAGGTTTGAATGTTTTTATTTTGTAGGATAAAAAGAAATTATTAATTGTTTCTATTCTACTCATGCACTGCAGTTTCGTACAAAGTCATTGTCAGGCTTATGTGGATACTGTTGGCCCTCGAGCTTCTTATCAATCTATGCTGAAGAAGAAGTTTCCGTCAGTGCAGATTACTGTATCAGAAAAAGCAGATTTAAAATTTCCAGTAGTTGGTGCAGCCTCAATCGTTGCAAAGGTGACTTTTTTCAAATGCTTCACTAGGGTTTAGCTGAAATCATATTCCGTTTGTTATATCTGCTGTTGCAAGTTGCTTTAATTTTCATTCGTTACTCATGGAGTTTTATTATAAATTTCATTTGCTAAAGTAAGAAATCTTCATTCAGATTATTATTTGCACTTCTATTTCATCGTGATCGACCGGAAAGTTAAGTTTGTTTAAGTTATTCTGTTTCCTTGTACATTTGTTGATGTTCAGTAATATGTCTCAATGTCGTTCTTACTTTTCAAGTAGTATTTTGTCTGTAATTCATACGATTAATGTCATTCATGAACTGGTTTATTTTTAAAGGTCAAACGTGACGAAATCTTGAAAAACTGGGTGTTTCCTGAAGGTATTGATGTTCCATCATGTGGACACGGTAGTGGATATCCTACAGGTTTGTTTTCGAGTTAAATAAAGTTCGCATTTTTATGTCTTGTTGACATGTCGGTATATTTTTTTAAGATCCGAAAACGAAGAATTTTTTGAAGGAGGTGTTTGATCCAGTTTTCGGTTATCCAAATCTAGTACGATTTAGTTGGAAAACAGTTGAAGTTATAATGCAGAAAAGGGCGATGAAATGTCAATGGTTCATGTTGATCATCCTTTTTATTGTTTAGATCATTTTTATTTAGAAGTAAATTAGTGCAATACTTGACAAGTAAGAAATAAATATTATAATATTACAGTAAAAAAGAACCAGTAGTATGTTGCAGTTTCCTTTAAAAATTAGTTCAAGTTTTTCAGCTTTTTTTGCTAAATTTTACTAGTTTTTGCAGGGGCAAACTGGAAAATACTTCTACAAAAACCATTACGTCGTTTTTCAAACCTTGCTTTGTTGGGAAAAATTGTGAGTCCGCAAAAAATTCGTTCCTCGCCGACAGGCATCTCTCTAATGTTACAGATTGCTCTGATTTTTAGTCTCATTTTGAAAGCTGAATATTTTCTACTTTAATGCATACATGTTCTGCTTGTAGATTTTATGCATTTCGAATATTTTCGCCTTTGCAGTGAATTCTTCAGTTTATCTTGTTTTGCTACTTATTCCAGACGCTAAATTTGTTTTTTTGCTTCATTGAAATGTCTTTCATTAATCTGTTTTGTTTAGTGATCATAACTGTTAGCAAAGTCAAAGAATTGATTGTACTGAAATTTAAATCCTAGTTAGGAGCAGTGATCCATTGTGTTTTTCTTCCATTATGTATAAAATGTTTTGTAGGATCTCCAGTATTGAAAGAATCATCATCAGTGATACTACCTTCGAATTTTATTGCATCTTATAATCATTTTATTGTTTGATGTAGAGGATTTAAACTAAGTTTTTGGATTTGTTCTCTAAATTTTGCTGGAAGAAGAGTGGCAATTTCAATTTTTAATAACATTATTATGATTACTATAGTTATCATGTTTGAAAATATTGCTATCTTCACTTAATGTATTGTCGAAAAGTGTAGCGCTGCGTGTATCAAAAAAAGGGTTGGTAAAAAATTTTACTGGAAATGGTTTGCGTATAATATTGTTACACCAAGTTTTTTTTCCCACTAATTACCAGTGCAACTTCAGTGCTGCAAGTTGGCGTCTTGTGCATACCTTTGTTGTTTTCCATTGATTATCTTTTTATGATTTAATTATCAATTATTGACATGAGAGAAATGTGATTGTTCACAAAATGTTTTTAACTTAATCTCAATCTTACTTTATGTAAGCATACATAAATTGTTTACTTATTTCTGCAACTTGTATCCAAAAATGATTTGTACTACTATTCTTTTGCTCTTGATGTTTAGCAGTGTTCTTCATGTCAGGGTATGTTTTCAGGAACTTCATATTATTAACCATTACTGTTTTGACATGTTGGCATTTTTTGTTTCATTGAGTATTAAATTAAATTGAGCAAAGGGACTAAGTTTGTCGAAGAATGTTTTTTATAGAGTCGTTGATAGGTCGTCTCAAAAGACGATATTATTTACTGAAAGTTTTTACATGTAGGAGTAAATGCTGAAGCTTTTGAGATATGTATGAATTTTGAAACTTTTAATTTCGATAAAATTCAAACATGTTTAGTTGTTTTGAAATGCTTAGGTGATTTGGTGCTTCATTACATTGATTCAAATAAAGTGATTCTTTTGCTATCTGCGTCATCTGATTTTGAACTGTTTTTCTTAGTTAGCTACTATAAAAAGTGTTGTGGAATATTGTCATTGAAGATTTGGAGGAAGTTAAAAATTTTTTCATTATTGGTGTTGGTTGTGAGTTTTAAAAATACTTGGGATTAAATTGATGAGAATAGTGGAGTATTTGAAAAGTATTGTGAGTGTGTGGTTTCTGGTTAGTCTGGAAAGGCATTAATGAATATTCGGAAAATAGTGCGTATTTATTCTTAGTGGGATTATCAATAATTGTGACACTGGATTTACTCTAAGTATAGTGGCACAAATTAGTTACTAAATGATTATTTTACAGATACAGAATTGGTTATAGTGAAATACTGAACTAGTCGATTGTGAAGTTTTTACAATCGATTAATTCAGTTATATTGGAACAAATTTGCATTTTTTGCTTTAAATTAGTGTTCTTTTTCTTGCATTTTACCTCTAGCTTTCTCCTTATGAATTAGAGTTGGATTTGCTTGAAGTACTGGTCGGTTCTCTGCTTGTTGTCTTTATAATTCGTAGTTTTATTTCTAGTTTCAGGATTTCTAACTTTTTTAATTACTCGTTACCTGTTTAGAAAAGTGATTGATTGCCCTCATCAAATAAATGTTTCAGTAATTTTGCAGAACAATTACGGTATTTTGTAATTAATTATATATTGATTTGCTTCAATTCAGTTTTTGGCACCAAAGATGTTGAAGCTATCCTTAACCAGTATAGCAACAGCAGTCTTCGTTTTGTATATTGCACATTCTATGCATTCTATCTACACTTTATTCCATCCTCAGCTTTGTCGTGAAACACAAAAGGATAAGGAATGCTTAATCGTATGTGCTTCTTTTTTCTCTGCTAGTTTGAATTGATATTTGAATGAACTTAATGAGACCTTTGACTTATGTCGTCACTGATTCCTGATTTCTTATTGTTCCTTGACTGCCATTTAACTTATACAATTGATATCAAGCAAAATTAAAAAAAACTGCTCAGCTGGCAAAATTGTCTGTTTATTTTTGAAATATTCAAAATATATTCTTGTTATTCATACATCACTGGTAAGTATGAAAGTGGAGAGAATTAATAAATACTAAAAAAATACAAAAGTATCTAGACAAAGTTTTTCTTATTTAGCCGATGATTCAAAGAGATGGAAAAAGTGGAGAATGGCCGCCTTTACAGTTTCGTATTTATGCTTCTGTGAACTCTCGCGCTAGGCAAAATTATGGAAAAATCATTCATCAGATAGCATTTCTAGATATTGATGAAGTTATGGATAGAGAAGTTTGATTTTACTCTTTATTGAGCATAATTGATCTTGCACTGGTTTCACTGTTTGTTGAATTAAGTATTAGCCGTGTTATTGCCAGTACAGAACATTTTTGTCCTGGAGATTTTTCTTTTGAAGGCGAAATTTTTATTTGAGAATTGTATTTGTAGAATGTTTTGCACATTTTCATGTTCTCTGTATCAGCAAAATACTACATTAATTGCTTAGTGCTGTGGACAAAAAAAAATTCAGAAAACTGAAATCAAACTTTTTTTTATCGTTAGAACTGTATTTGTCTTTTCAACGGCGTAATTTTTGATTTCTATAAATTTACTAAACAGAAAATCGTTCATGATATTTGGTTTATTTTTTTTATCATTGGACATCTTATTTTCAGGTAAATGTGGATCTGCCAGAACACACGCGCAACAATGGTTCTTTATATCTGCATTGTTTTTTACTTCCTGCCGAACACAAATATCCAGATCCTTATCAAGTTTGTTATTGGATTTATATGTAATTGCTAGATTGCCGAATAAAAAACGTGTTTTTGAATTAAAAGTTTCATCAAAAAATTATGCTGATAAAAGCTTTGTATCTCATTTTGTAAAGCTCTTTTCTTTGTGAGTTGTACACCAATGGTTTTGAAGCAAAAAACAAAATATTTTCTGTGATATTTTGTTTCATCGCCTGTACAATGCATTCCTAATTTTATTGAAAAATTTTAAGTGACTTAGCTTAATTCATCTATTTTCATTCTGTAGTTTGTCCATAATAATTTTCTTCTACAGGCTCCGTGGCAAATAGTACAAACAGTTAAAATAACTACATATCAAGTTCCGGAAGCAGAGACATTTCGGTTGATCATGGATGCTGAAAAAAAACGGAAGATGAATGTAAAAGCAAGTAGATCTGTAGATGAGGTTTGATCCATTTTTTACTCAGTTTTCACTCGGTTCCTTGATTTTTTTTCTGGGCATATTAACTATATTGATGATTGAGTGATGTATCTAAGGATCACTGAACGCTTTCTGGCAATATTAATTATAATAGTCACTAGCACTCATTGATTACAGACTTCACTAAAAAGTCTGATTTCTTTAATCTTCCAATGGCAAATGTGAAGCAAAGTTAAAAACAAGGCAAAATCATTCAGTTACGTGACAGTGGAATACCAGTTACACATTTTCGCAGCAAATTGCCTTTAACAGTTGTTGCTGAAGCACCAAAATTTGATTTGAAAGCTCTTCCAAGTGAAATATTTCAACAAATGCAGCTATTCGAGAAAGGTACTAAGATTTAATTTAATCGGACTTCATGTACTGGTATATTCGATGGTAACTATAAAAAATTACTTTTACACATAACTTTTCTTTTTCGTCTTTAATCAGAAAATCATCTGATTAGGGAGTAAAGGGAAGCTGGTTCATATGTTTCATTGATTGTGGTAAAAAACGAAAAACTTTTTTATTAAAGTTTTTTTCTTATGATTTGGATTTTAGATGGTCAAAAATATTATTGGCCAATATTTCATATTGATGATTTGAGTTTCCTCACAAAAGATTTAATACAGGTTGGTCGTGCTATTTTCCGTCGGCTATGCTTCATGCTTTGAATTTCAAACTCTATATGTGTTAACATTTGTGCATTTATTTATTTATAGTCCATTTATTTTTAAATGATGTAATGTAGCAAAACATTCCCATGCATCTTTTTTCTTTTTTTTTAAACGAAATAAATCTATCATAATAAACAGATAAAACCTGAACAAACAACTGTGACGATGCAGATTCAGTACCGGCCAATATCCATAGGCAAATTGCGTTTGCTCGTTTCTACTCAAGCATCTCTTATTCACTTGAAGCAGATGGGTTTCAGTGATAAAGATGTTGACGAAGTTTGTTATTCTTTGTAAATTACTCTTCATATTTCAACTGTTTTACCGATGTTTAAATTCACGTGTCATGGTATATCGTTATTTCATAGATCCAGTGTTTCTTCATTTTGAATGCAGTTTAGGTTAAAGGAATATTTGTGAATACAAATTTTTATTTCTTGACTCTTACCGTATTCGTTGCTGCGCTACATATGTTATTCGATATCCTCGCATTCAAAAATGATATATCATTTTGGCGTAGTCGGAAGAGTATGGCGGGTCTTTCAACAAGGTGAAGGAAATCGATCTGTTATTTTAGATTGTGTGCTGTAAGATAAATGTTTTTTCTTGTTTGAAAATTTATATGAAACGATGAAAACGTTGTTGAAGTAATGTGACTTTATTAACTTCATTATTTAGACAAAATCTCATACTTTTTTTTCAGAACTGTATTATGGCGATCGTTCAGTCAGTCGGTTATCTTCTTATATCTTTTGGATGAGGAAACAAGCCTTTTGGTAACAATTCCTGCCGGCATTGGTTGTCTCATTGAGTATTGGAAAGTCACAAAATCTGCAAAAGTAATGCTTTTAAAAAAAATATGAAGCACTTTTGGTTAACTCTTAATATGTTTTCAGTAATTGTAGTTTTATTCTATAAACATGAATTAAGCCATAAAAATTTTCTGGTTATAATAAACCCCTTCATCATTCATAATGTTTAACTCAAAATAGAATATAATTAATATGTAGCAAAATTATCTTTAGTTTTTGGTTAGTCGTGTTAGATAGGCTGTGTTCATGTATATGCTTTTCCAACATGATTTGATTATGAGAAATGATATTAGTTCAATCGACTTTGTAATGACTTTGCAGATTTCTATTTATTGGTCAAAAGGTGTACCATATTTTCGATTTGGTACTTCAACTGCGGCAGAATTGGAAACAGAGTCCTTTGATTCTGAAGCAATGAAATATCTCTCTATTTTGCTCACGCCATTGTGTATTGCTGGTGCAGCTTACAGGTAGTTCTTATGAAGATTTGAAATTACTTGAAGATTAAGATTCACTTTCGTAATGTAGTTTACTAATTGGCTGTCCAGTCTTGAAATTTGAAGCATTTAAAAAAAATACTGTCGTTTGTTCATCGAATTTCAGCCTGGCTTATGTTCCTCACAAATCGTGGTATAGTTGGGTAATTCAATGTTTGGCTAATGGTGTATATGCATTCGGATTTCTATTCATGTTACCGCAGTTGTTTGTTAATTACCGAATGAAATCAGTAGCTCATCTTCCATGGCGAGCCTTCATGTACAAAGTAAACTTTTGTTGATATGTACATACATTGTTTAAATAAATAAATAAATAAATATATATATATATATATATATAT